GAATTCCGCGAGTGAAAAGGACAAATCACCACCAGATAATCGCCAAATGACGTGAAAATCTCCACCTTCCTCTGACAATGTAACCTGGTAATGGACAAATCCCCATACGTGCACAGATGATTTAAGATTTGGCATTGTCCTTTTCGAACTGTTTTCAAGCCTCAAATGTTCAAACAAGGGAACATGCAAAAAAAACATGGGTAACAAGTTAGTAACTAACATAACTTCCATAACTAGTTATAACAAAACCAGGATTTCAAGTGAAGCTTGTGCCCGCAGCCTGTCAGCCAGAACTTCAGAACACTGGATCCTTGTCGACTTGGAAGACTTGTTGATGCCCCCGCTGAGGCGCTGGTGGTGCGTTGTGCCTAAAAATGGTTAGTGATGGTTAATATTAATGGTTGATACTATGGTGAGTTAATGGTAAATTGTCATCATTATCATTGTTAATCATCATGGTGAATCAGGCTTAATAGTAACAATCCATCTTTAGGGTAAATTTGGCAAAAAACAAATTTAAAAACATGGTAAATTTGGCAATCCATTATACGTATTACCCATGTTAATTACGATGGTACATAATCCATTAATGCATCGTCATCATGTTGGCGCCGGGCGCCCAAAATCCCAAGCCCTAGGAGAGACCTATAGGGATTATTCAGAAAAAAAACATCCCGTTACGCATGGTGGGCAAGATGTGAGTACCACCTATACACAGTACGCATGATACTCTCATATATATATATATCAATTCATGTGCATATCTAAATTATCATGGTATGTGTATCCAAATATATATAAATATATAATTATATAGAACATTATAAAATCATTTAAAATCTTGATGATGAATCTTATTCCAATTCCAGATCAATAAGCAAAATAAATTAATATGTGCATAAAGTATCCATAATGAATATCCATTCCATAACATATAACCACATATAACCACATATTCATGTACCCTCCGGTGAACTAACATAACAATGGAAAATCATCATTTGTAATGGGAAAATCCACTATAAAATCTATAAATGGCAATTTTCAATAGCTATGTTAGTTTACCAAATGGTATATTTCATTCTATCCCCATGATCTCCCAGCATTTCTCAGCACGCCGTTGCGTCCCAGCATCGTTTCAGGAAGCGTTGCGTCCGCGGCAGGGTCCGCGTGGAGGCGCAACACGTCGGGCCGGCGGCCAGGCCGTTCTCGGCGGGCGATTCGGCGCCTGGCACAACGGGGACGCGCCTTGGTTCAAGGAGTCTTTAGCCATCCACAAATAGGGATTTCAGTAGCAGAAATGCTGGATTTGAATCGATTTGAGCTATGTAAATCAGAGTCTGACCAGCGCAAATGGCGGATTCATGCGGATTCTACCGATAATAGAAGGGTTTTAGATGGTTTAACCAACAGGCATGGTGATTTCACCAGCAAGAAATAGTTTTTGTTAGCAGCAGAGATGGTGATTCAACCAAGAGAAACATGGAGTTTTCCAGGATTTGAGCGAAAGGATTGCAGAATTTCATCAATGATAATGACTGGTTGGTGGTTGACTAACCATCCTGAAAAATATGAAAGTCAATGGGAAGGATTATCCCATATATGATGGAAAATAAAACATGTTTGAAACCATCATGATAATGAGGATTGGAGGAAGCATCCAAAAAAACATAACGCAATGGTCATGAAAAATTCAATGACTCCCTCATTGTTTCTACAATAATCCCAGCAAGTCCCGACCTGGATTCAACCTGTGTATTGGGGCCCGGGTATCCCCGGCTTGAAAACGACAAAAACTCGCAGGAATGGTGATGTGATCATCAATGAATGGGAAATTAATGGGGATATGCTGACTCAACTGTCAATAAAAGAGTAAATAGGAAGCCTACCAGCACGAATGACATTTCAGCAGGAAAAAAAAGTGCGAACAAAGCTGGGACTTAAAATATGATCCCGGCAAGAGACCCCAAACAGTGTTGCAAGGAGCACGAGGAAGAGATAGCAGGTTTGATTCTGAAAGTTCCATTGTGAAGATCTCTGTAGAAGATAGTGTGCAATCTCTGAAGAGGCTGCTGTCCAACATGCGTCTGAAAAGCTATTTGTACAAGGTGTCTATAAGAGATCTCCACGCAAGATCCCTTCAAGAGACCCCCAAGTAAGATCTCTATTTATCTATACCATTATTTCGTGGGCTGTATCATAAATGGACATAGATCTGGGTAAATTACAATATTTCACTAACCTGAATCGTTCGGCCATTTGGGGATGATTCCCCTTATAATTTACCCAGATAGATGGATGTTTTCAACCATGACATCCAGTTGCATGGTGAATTTCTCCGAGGTCCAGGCAAGTTGATCCACCAGCAACAGGGAATTAAGTGTCAAGTGTTGGCTGTGATTGAAGAACCTAAATCTGAATAAGTTTGGATACTAAATCTGAACATTTTAGAACTTATGACTATACCAAAATCCTAAGATTCCTAAGTCCAAGCACCTTTAGTATCCATAATGAAGTCCAAGCACTTATCGAAGAAATTTTCACAAATGACCATCAGCTGGGAGAAGTTCGCATCGATTCTTGGGTTGGAGGCCCCAGGAGGGCACCTCTCATCATCTCGAACATGGCCATCAACTCCGCGGTTTTGGAGATGCTGCTGCCAGATTCCTAGGGATCAGTTATTAAGTTATGATCATTTGCTGAAGAACAGATGTGAAATATATCCCATGACGGATCCATGGTGCTGCTATATATGGTGTGCCATGGATCCCATCAATATACCCCCTTTATGTTAGCATAAATATACCAGCACCATGGATCTCATGGGTATGTGGATTACAAGTGTTGAGTAAATGAGATGAATCAGATGTAGACAGTCCGTAACATCCGTAACCGCATTCTCTGAAGAAACCTTGCTCACTGGCTCTTTTCAGGGCTATCCGAGTCCCGCAAAGAGTAACACCCTGACTGTATCAGCACCAACTCCCACCTGAGAGGACCATACAGCGCCAAGCAACTTGTGTAAATGAGAAGCTACCTGGTCGCCGCCAGAGCATGGGCTTTGCGAGAACTTGGCTTAATGCTGGGAATATAACTGGGAAACCTACTATTTCTTGCCGCGTCTGCCTCGTGGCTTTAATGTGAACTTTGGATTTAGCACCTCGTCTTGTTACATACCGAGGGGCAATAATGGCCTTGCCTCGTTAGTTCTACTTGAGCATACATATAGCACATTTTGAAACATCCAAAAATGGAAAAACACAACTTTTGGGGCCGTGTTTTTTTTGGGGATAGCCATGTCCATTGAGCCTGCAAACAAAGGCCAAGAAAAAAAACAAACACTTTTCTGGCAGTGATGTTTTTTTCCCAACTGCCAGAAAATAACCTCGCAAATGCCTGGAATCGAATGTCTTTGCTCCTTCTCCGCGAGAAGAAAGCCGAAAGAATCAAAACACAACTTTTCTCGTGCCAGGAAGTTGTTCTTTTTCAATTTGCATGTGTGCTGACACATCCCGTGCACCTGGCTTGAGTGGGCTGTCCATCTTCAATCTCTGGCCACAATGTTCACTACATCCCCTCACTGGTACCTTAAATCTTTGTTGTTCACCTCGTCGCTTGCATCGTTAATGTGGACTTGTCTACCTCGTTGCCTCGCCTGTCCTCGCAGTAGTTTGTGAGGACATAAGAGTTAGTGTCACCCACTTCACTGCCCTGTGGTTTGATGTCTCAAAAGCATGGCAAAAACACACACACCCGGGTTTTTGACGGAACTTTTTGGTACCGAATCGAACTTGGCAAGTATCAAAAAGCAGAGATTTTCATGGGATCCTAGGAGCGCTTGAAGTAGATTTACATGCGATCGTTTTCTCGGCAATGACTATGGGACTGTGAGCCCCTGGAAGGCTGACTCCATCTTCAAGGAATCTCTCGGTCGTTGCCCCCCAACGATAGGACCGCTCATGCCATCTGCGAGTTTCCGAAGGATCCATAACTTCTAAACTTTCATCATCTTTCACTTCCCTATTGTGGATTGTTGAAGATCTTTTTTGGACTCATTGGATTATTGATTATGATCATATGGTCTTTCATCATCTTAGTAAAACAAAAAATGTTAAAATGATTAAACACCATATGATCTATAATGGTTTTCCTGTTGCATTATTAATTAAGATCTTTCATCAGGAAAAACCTAAACAAGACATGTCTGTCTTCTGAGACGTTGATGGGCTTGTTTCATCTCCAAATGGGGTTTGTTTGAAAATCATGTGCCCTATCCAATGGATTTGAAACCTCAAGGTTACCTGATTTAGAGCCCAAAAAATATCATGGAATATATTCCACTGCCATGTCAAAAATCTAGCTTAATGGTTTTGTGTAATGATCCCAATATGATTGGGTTAATGGGGACTATAGCCTATTTTCTACCAGGTTTTTGACAATGCTCACTGGGGTGAACCACCCGCCATCTTCATTTTCTACCAGGTTTTTGACAATGCTCACTGGGGTGAACCACCCACCATCTTCAGGCGCCTGCTGGACACGTGGCGCTCACTGTGATGTGGCTACCTCTCACCTGCCGGTGGAGCCGTTAATTTGTGCCACAAAGAGAGAACAGGAATTTATCACCATTTACATGGATATATCACCAGTAATAACACCAGTAATTTATCACCATTGTATATTGTATATAACAGATATTGTATGTAGGATTTAAATGGATTTGTGATTTTCGATCTTTTGTCGGGGGGTGCTTCTGCTAAATCGAGGTGATCACACAAGAATATGAATTTACATGGATGCTATGGTTCTATCTTTTTGGGGGTTGCTTATCATACCCTCTGCTAAACTAACATAGCAATGGAAAATCACCATTTTTAATGGGAAAACTCACTATAAATGGCCATTTTCCATAGCTATGTTAAATTACCAGAGGGTACATCATCTTCACAGTTTTTCACACCTTTGATCCCACTATTGCTGAGGGCGCGAAGCGAAGCCGCCTTGGGCCCTTCCACATCCAGCAAGACCGGGGCCACGTCGGAGCTCACGTTCTGGCCAGGCTTTTGGAAAAGCCGGAAACCATGTGCGGGGACCCTCAAGTTTGACTGGTGCTTGTTCCAACCAAAGCATGAAACCACAAAGCGAAGAAAGAATCGACACCCCGGCACCAACTGTTTTATGCACAGGCCATGTCTTGCCCTAGCACTTTCTGGGAACATTGGCACGGTCAGACAAGCGCACGAGCAAAAACTACACTACCGCGCTGCCAGTCTCACAAACCGTCCCATCATGACATGTTGCTTTAACCCCACTTATCCCCATGTCTGGTAGAAAATCATTCATGTGAAATGATGGAGTTTTTCCATTTTCAAAATGGTAGCAAACATTGTAATATATATATATATATATGTTTTGGACATCTTTGGACATCAATTTTGGACAATGGATCAACTCATGGGGGGAAAAATGGGAAAACATGGGAAACATGGGAAACATCTCCATGAAATGATGGTGATCGTCCTCCGCTTCCAGAGAAATGTTCTCCAAGCGCCAGGGCTCTGGGTCCAGAAAGACCAGCCTCGGACCCAGGCGGAGATAGATAGCCTTTGGCTTGGAACATGGCAAAATCATGGAAAAAACATGGAAAAATCATTGGAAAATCACTGGAAATTCATGGCAAAATCAAGGCAAACACATGGGTAAATCATTGCAAAATTATTGCACAATCATGGGAACATCAAGGCAAACACATGGGAAAATCATTGCAAAATCATGGAAAATCAAGGCAAAAACATGGGAAAATCACGGGAAAATTACACAAGCATCAAGGCCATATCCTAACAGTTCAGTAATGGAGGGGATTGCCAAATGCAATGAGTCTTGTGCAGCCCGGAAACGCAGAGGCAAGCTGGACCTAAGTCGTGCGCACAGACCAACATCTTTGATGAACCTACGGACCTACGAGCCTACAGAATAGACATTCTGAATTTCCAAGTGATTCATGTGTTCACTGATCAAAAATTGGTCATCACTTGATATTCAATTTGGTCTGGTTTGATGGGAAAAACAATTGTGGAACACATTTTATGATGAAATATGTGGTCATTTCATGTTATTTCCAAAGAAACAAACATAGAAAACCAGATGGCTCTATTGGCTCGCCGTGACCAAGACCCTGGGACCCTGGTTGATTCGGTATGAAACAAGGGCTGACATGGACCTACCTGGGGACCCTGGGGACCTGGGGATTCCAAAGCCATGACATCACCTCCGGATCTCCAGTCCCGCTCCGGATCCCAGGGATCCCAGGGACGCAAGCAACTTGACTCCGCTGGGAGCAGCGCGCCTGGCACGGTGACGAAGCGGTGACTTGACTTTTGGGGACAGAACTGATCAAACCAGCAACACTATGGATAGCTATATATATATATTAATATCTATGGAAATATCTATGGGAAAATATGGGAAGATCGTGGATTTTCTGGTTGGTGGTGCAATAACCATCTTGAAAAATGATGGAGTTCTTCAATGGGAAGGATTATTCCATATATTATGGAAAATAAAACAATGTTTGAAACCACCAGTCAGTTTTTGCATGTTTTTGCCGGGGGTTGCCAGTATGTGTATCTGGTTAGCTACATTTGGCTACCCAAATCACCATCAGTATCATCAGTGCATCAGTGCAATGACAACAACGAGTATCATACATACCAATTGTGGTGATCATATCACCAACCATCAGTAGATAGCCATTTTCTGCCATCAGTAGATAGCCTCAACTTCTGGTGACAACCACCGTGTTGAAGGCAGCGTGCCAAATCCCTGCCTTTCTTCTTCAATTCCCCCTGTTTTGTCGTTTTTCTTGGCAAAATAACAAAAAACATCCATTAAAACAAATCCTACGAACTACCTTACATAGATGTTCGACAAGCTCTGCGAAGTGTGGGACAAGGAATGTCCCACCAAACTAAGTATTGAGCACAACCATCTGAAGGGGATGTTTATGATGGCCTTTTATGGCCAACTAGTTATTCCGCGGACATCCTGGCCCACATCCCATCCTCACCATTGATCGTATCTCAGTTGAATCACTAGTACATCATCGTGTTGGTTGGTTTATGAACACAAACCACATCCTATCATCAAAGTATCGGCAGAACAATATAAATAGTATAGGACATCACCTGCTGCTCATAGGGTATACTTAAATATGAACCATTATAAACCCAAATATGCTATTATGATGTATTGTTTTGATTTATACATCCCATTCAATATCCTTTGATCTGCAATTTTTCAGCCCGTTTACAAATCTATTTATACATCCCATTAAGTCCTATCCGCATGAGTCCTATCGCACAAGTTGTCTTAGCCCTATCCCATTGAATCCCATCGAAAAACCCATCGAAAAAGACCATCGAACCTATCCGTTGAACCCCTTGGATCTCATTAAATCCCACCCGGCCTGGTAAACGTCTACAGTTTGCTATGGAAAATCACCATCTCTAATAGGTAAATCAACTATTTCTATGGGCTTCTATGGGCCATGTTCAGTAGCTATTTTGACATAACCGGGCCGGGTATCCCAATGAAATCCCAAACCTTCGACCTCAACGTTTCATCCCCATCGTATCGCCTGCACATCTTGCAGGCTCCACTTCTTCAGTTCCGCCGCCCGCAGCAGGGCGCCCACTCTGCGGGCCACGATGCGCCGCAGCGCCAGGTGTTGACAGGTGCCACCTGCAGCGACGCCGAGAAGAACCGGGGAGTTTTTCGGGAAATTCCTGGGATTTTCCTGGCGGATGGTGTGCCATGGATCCCATCAATATACCCCCTTTATGCTAGCATATACCAGCACCATGGATCCGTCATGGGTAATGGTTTCACCCTAAAAAATTCACCATGAAGATGATGACGATTTATGGATTTTTTCACATCCTCGAAACGTACAGTTAGAGATTCGGATGTGATTCCACTCACAACGATGGAGATTTAAGTGCCACCCAAATTCAACATAAAAACATAAAAGCACTAGGAAAATCATGGTGGTTCTACACTGTATTGCAATTCCGTGGTGAATGAGAGAACAATGGAGAACCATGGGGAATCCCTGGGGGACTTTCAATCTGTGGTCACTCACGGAAATGACCACCAGTGGTCATTGGGTGCCTAGGCTCGAAACTACCCTGGGATGGACTTGGAATGAGAACCCCAAACTCTTGATCTTTAATCATAATCTACTCAAGTCAGATTTCTACATCTATAATATGGACATACCACATGCGTTACCTCCTTCAACACTTGTGCGCATGCATATCTACAATACATACTGACTATACGGACTATACGTGCAAACCACTATTCACTCTCTAGTGCTATGGCACCAATTTTCCACTGGTTAAAAGCCTCATTTTACAGCACCTACCATTGCAAAATCCATGTAAATGTAAATCCTTTATTTGAAGACACATTCCCTTCCCTGACCAGCTGTAATGTCTAAGTTCCAGGCAGGAAAAGGCCAATTCGCTGACATCTTCCAGCACCGAATCTGCCAGGAAGAGGTGAGCCGTGACCCTAAGTGGGGGATGGGTCGAAACCTTTGAGGCTATGCCAATCAAAAATCGCAATTCCGGTTGGTCCAAACATAGTGTAATACCTCATTCCGCGCACTTGTAAATCATCAATGTTCCTGCAAAAACAGGAATAGATTCCATGTTCCCAACCTTTTCCAACAATTTTCCCATCATTTTCCCATGATTTTCCCATCATTTTCATTCATTTTCCCACAATTTTCCCATGATTTCTGATAGAAAATTGCCATGTCCCCGGCACCGCACCTGCCACGTCCAGTCCTTCCGCCCGCGGCATTTCCACCGCATAGCGCAGCCGCTGTAGCTGGGCATTCCGGAGCCGCACCAGACCCCCATCTGGGCGGGTTATGGGGCGCAAGGTGTTAAGGGCAACGTATGGGAATCATAATGTGGGAAAATATGTGAAGATCTATGGATAGCTATATGGGAATATATATATATATGGGAATATCTATGGAAATATGTGGGAATATCTATGGAAATATCTATGGGAATATCTGGGAACTGGTTGGTGGTGCAAACACACCATCTTGAAAAATATGAAAGACAATTGGAAAAGGATTATCCCATATAATTTTGATGGAAAATAAAAAGTGTTGAAACCACCAACCAGGTGGGAAAATATGTGGGAAAATATGTGGGAAAATATTGGAATGTGTATGGGAATATGTATGGATAGCTCGCAGCGACAAGGGCAACATATGGGAAGCATATGTGATATAATATGGAACATACTGATGGCAGAAATCCTGCACCAGTTGGTAGAGTCCCGTTTTAGCCCCATTATTTACAGTTTCATAGTTACCAAGAGTTACTGACAGGTGCAGGATTTCTTCCATCCATAATATCTAAAAATGCGGATGGATTCAAAATAAAAAATGTGGAAACTATAGGATATTGTATGAGATAATTGTGGGGACATAATCTACACAATCGGATAAGATAGACTATAATGATTGATAATGATTGTATGTTGTTTAAAAAATAGTGACTCGTTGTTGGCTTTTGTGAGTAATAACCCCTTACTTACAAATTTGTGTTTCTTTGAATGAGGGACTTCCAAATCAGCCAAACCTGCCAATTTTGAGTGAGTTTTAGTCGGGTATTTTGAATCAAAGCAAAAAATGTAAAGCAACACAATAAAGCAACAAATTGTCCACTGTAGTCGGTTAAACATAAAAAGGTTTTGGTTTGAATCTGATTTTCAATGTGGTAATTTTTCACATTCAACCACACACATCTTGAATCAAGCAAACATGTGAGAGTTAACCATGAAAAAAAACAACGCAAGGTTTACCCAGTCTTTTTCATCGCCGTCCCTGCCATCCCTGCCTGATAAGATGCCTGAGAAAAAGTCCGTGATCACCAGGCTGGAATCTGCGGCGAACAAAACGGCGAACGGCCCAACAGCCCAACGACCCGGCAGACAAGTGGCCATGGCTGGAAAATCCTCCGTTGACCGAGATTTTCCCAGCTATAAACCTCCATTTTTTAGAGTTTAGGGTGATTTTCTTGCTTGCCATCTTTGATTACCATCTGGATTTGCCGGTAGATTGAACAAAGTTCATTCCAATGTTGGATTGTGCGAAATTTCAGGCCAATCATCAGCAAGAGTTCAGGACTAGCACTGGTATAATCTGTTGAAGTTTGGAATTGAATACATTGACGGATGCTAAGTGACAGTGGTGACATGGGATAGCAGTCATCCTCCAAACTCAAAGAGCAAAACCGCGAGAAGGGGTTTATCCAATGCTAAAAATGATCACAGCTTTATCACGAGGGCATTGTTTCACAAATGTCAATATATATATATGTATACATGTATATATATATACACATATGTGTGTATATATATATATCCGTATTTTTTTGCATATATCAATGACGTGTTCTTTTCCATAAACATAGCCCTCTGGCCGTCTGGCACCTTGAGACATGTCAAAGGACCGGTTTTCACCGGCATTGGGTGACAGTTCCTAGGCAGATGGGTGGTAAATCAGCACATAGTTTACCTTCCAGTAAATTAACATAGACCCTGGCAGTCATCGGGGTTGGAAGATTAGTTTCCACTAACAATTGGTGATTTTCAGGGTCAAACTGTTAATTTACCAGAGGGTAAATCAATGAATGGACAAGGCTTTGACCAGAAATCGGCCAGCAAAAATACTTCAAAGGACCACTGGACCACTGGTCATCCTGTCCCAAAAGAGGTTTTTGGCTGGGAAATCCCGATATCTAAACGGATGGTTTTTGGCTGGGAAAGTCATTGAACTACTGAGTAACTACTGTTTTTTTTTATTATGGTGCAGCACATTACCCATGACGGATCCATGGTGCTGCTCTATATGCTAACATTGGGGGTATATTGATGGTAAATGTTACCATATATAGCACCACCATGGATCCTATGGGTTATGTTTGACTACCAGAGGGAACTTGACATTCAAACTGCTTGTATAAAAAAAAACGATGAACTGATTTTTACATGTTCTGATCATCTGATACCAAATGCCAAGATCCCAGCTAACCTCTGGTAATTTGACATTGACATAGCTAATTATTGGAAAATTGCCCATTTATAGTTGATTTACCTATTAATTAAATTTTGTGATTTTCCATAGTTTTTTGTATGTTTACCAGAGTGTAATCCTATAAAAGCAAAAAACAATTTCAAAATCACCAACTGACTAAGTGTTTCCATAGTTTACTGTGATTTTCCATAGTTTTTATCATTTGGATCTCCCCTGTATTCCTACAAAACGCCATGTTTGGAACGGACCTGTTGCCACTGCATCCACTCAAATGTGATGATGTGAATTCATGTTTTCCCATGGTGGATTGGTATCTGTCATCTCGAAGGTTAAAAAAATCATTTTCCGACAATCCCAAATCATGGTGTTGGATCTCTACATATGTAAGTATATATATATATGTATATATAGTATATATATATATCACATATGCTATATCCCATTATCTTCTTAATTGTGGTTGTTATATATTCATATATGGATATTCCCATTGTGGTCCATTGCATTTTGCTACTTATAACACTGGGAATATAATATTGCCCACAATAATGGGAATATAAAGGTGGTAGATCATGGGACAAAAAAAACAATCATCGCAATTTTTCCACAGGTATATATTACATTGTTATTACGATATTGTGTGAAAAATCAGGTAGTTTTCCCATAACAATGGTTGCATTATATCGTGATTTTCCCATAACTTCCATGATACACTTGATAATGATGGTTGTTGGAAAAATGATCTTGGAATCATTATACTCATTATACACTTATGGTAAGTTATATGGGAAAACTAATAACTAATATACATCTTGGTTTATACACTAACAATATCTTGGTTGTTGGAACCACTATAATGTTGAGCTAGGAATAATAAAACCCCCAAATTAATCATGCCCGTTTTCACCGGAAATTTTGGGACAATACTAAAGTCCTCTACGTGCTGATTTCCCCCCCTAATAACACTAAACTACCCCCTAATTAATCATGCCCCTCCGGGATCCCCAAATTTTTGGTGGGACTAATTTGCTATTACTCCCTTTTACTTTTTAATTCGGGTTACAATTTCCAGGGTTACTTCCTATTTGGGTTTACCATAGGTATTCTTATCTTTTCTCATTGGAATCTGATGGTTTACCATTCATTTTCGAATCTTCCCTCATAGGAAATTGATGGTTTCTACGTGGTTTCCTCATCTTCCCTCAGATGGTTTACCAAAGGTTTTCTGATCTTTTCTCATTGGAATTTGATGATTTACCATAGGTTTTCTCATCCTTTCTCATAGGAATCTCATGGTTTACCATTCATTTTCGAATCTTCCCTCATAGGAATTTGATGGTTTACCATACGTTTTCTGATCTTTTCTCATAGGAATCTCATGGTTTACCATTCATTTTCGAATCTTTCCTCATAGGAATTTGATGGTTTCTACGTGGTTTCCTCATCTTCCCTCATAGGAATTTGATGGTTAACCATAGGTTTTCCTATCTTTTCTCATAGGAATCTGATGGTTTTTCCGTGGTTTCCTCATCTTTTCTCATAGGAATCTCATGGTTTACCATTAATTTTCGAATCTTCCCTCATAGGAATTTGATGGTTTGCCATACGTTTTCTGATCTTTTCTCATAGGAATCTCATGGTTTACCATTCATTTTCTCATCTTTTCTCATTGGAATTTGATGGTTTCTACCTGGTTTCCTCATCTTCCCTCAAAGGAATTTGAGGTTTTCCTATCCTTTCTCATAGGAATTTGATGGTTTACCGTAGGTTTTCTGATCTTTTCTCATAGGAATCTCATGGCTTACCATTCATTTTCGAATCTTCCCTCATAGGAATTTGATGGTTTCTACGTGGTTTCCTCATCTTCCCTCATAGGAATTTGATGGTTTACCATAGGTTTTCTTATCTTTTCTCATTGGAATTTGATGGTTTACCATACGTTTTCTGATCTTTTCTCATAGGAATTTGATGGTTTCTACGTGGTTTCCTCATCTTCCCTCAAAGGAATTTGATGGTTAACCATAGGTTTTCCTATCCTTTCTCATAGGAGTTTGATGGTTTACCATAAGTTTTCTGATCTTTTCTCATAGGAATCTCATGGCTTACCATTCATTTTCGAATCTTCCCTCATAGGAATTTGATGGTTTCTACGTGGTTTCCTCATAGGCTCTCTTTCATTGCAAGAGCTGTGCTTTCAGTAGGTCGAAGCCGCACCATTGCCAAACACACTGGTTTCAGAGTTTTTTGTGCGCTGGCTCATCACGTTGGGAAGAGGTGACTCTCTTTCATTGCAAGAGCTGTGCTTTTATTAGGTCGAAGCCGCGCTATTGCCAAACACACTGGTTTCAGAGGTTTTTTGTGGGTTGGCTCATCATGTTGGGAAGAGGTGGCCCTCTTTCATTGCAAGAGCTGTGCATTCAGTACGTCGAAGCCGCACTATTGCCACACAAAGTGGTTTCAGAATTTTTTTGTGGGTTGGCTCGTGATGTTGGGAAGAGGTGGCTCTCTTTCATTGCAAGAACTGTGCTTTCATTAGGTCGAAGCCGCACTATTGCCAAACACACTGGTTTCAGATTTTTTTTGTGGGTTGGCTCGTGATGTTGGGAAGAGGTGGCTCTCTTTCACTGCAAGAGCTGTGCTTTCAGTAGGTCGAAGCCGCGCTATTGCCAAACACCGTGGTTTCAGATGTTTTTTGGATCACGATGGTGGGAAAAGGTGTCTTTTTATCGTTATTTGGGGGGGGGTTCATTAATTGGGGGGGTTGTTTGGGGTTTGGCTGCGGGTTTGGTTGGGGGGTTAAGGGGGGTGTTGCGCATTGTGTTTCTGATTCCGGCAAACCCCTTCCAGGCCCAGTCACTGGTTCTAGAAAGCCTTTTCTTGCCATTTAGGGCAAGCCCCCGTGGCATAGTGGTGTAGAATAGGCTTTGAGCCCCTTGACCCGGGTTCGATTCCCGGAGGGGGCGTCTTGCAGCCCGGGGGTGGCACACAGCTGGCTTGAATGCTTGTGTGTTGTGCTTCTTTTCTCCGCCAATGTCTTGCTGTTGTGATAGCTACCTTTGCCTGCTTCTGGACTTTGCCTCTAATTACTTCATGGTGGCTTTCTTTCATTGCAAGCGCTGTGCTTTCATTCGGTCGAAGCCGCACTATTGCCAAACACAGTGGTTTGAGAGGGTTTTTTGTGGGTTTGCTCATCATGTTGGGAAGAGGTGGTTCTCTTTCATTGCAAGAGTTGTGCTTTTCAGTACGTCGAAGCCGCACTATTGCCAAACACACTGGTTTCAGAGGGATTTTTGTGGGTTTGCTCATCATGTTGGGAAGAGGTGGCTCTCTTTCATTGCAAGAGCTGTGCTTTCAGTACGTCGAAGCCGCACTATTGCCAAACACACTGGTTTCAGAGGTTTTTTGTGGGTTGGCTCATCATGTTGGGAAGAGGTGACTCTCTTTCATTGCAAGAACTGTGCTTTCATTAGGTCGAAGCCACGCTATTGCCAAACACACTGGTTTCAGAGGTTTTTTTGTGGGTTGGCTCATCATGTTGGGAAAAGGTGACTCTCTTTCATTGCAAGAACTGTGCTTTCATTAGGTTGAAGCCGCACTATTGCCAAACACAGTTTCAGAGGATTTTTGTGGGTTGGCTCATCATGTTGGGAAGAGGTGGCTCTCTTTCATTGCAAGAGCTGTGCTTTCAGTAGGTCGAAGCCGAACTATTGCCAAACACACTGGTTTCAGATTTGTGGGTTGGCTCATCATGTTGGGAAGAGGTGGCTCTCTTACATTGCAAGAGCTGTGCTTTCATTAGGTCGAAGCCGCGCTATTGCCAAACACACTGGTTTCAGAGGTTTTTTTGTGGGTTGGCTCATCATGTTGGGAAGAGGTGACTGACTCTCTTTCATTCCCTCATGGGATTTTGATGGTTTACCATTCAATTTCTATTCTTTCTCCATAGGAACCTTATGGTTTACCAAGGGTATTCTTTTTTTCTCACAGGAACCTGATGGTTTTCCACTAGTTGTCTAACCTTTTCCCATAGGAATCTGATGGTTTTTGCGTCGTTTCCTCACGTTCCCTTATACGAATCTGATGGTTGACCGCTAATTTTTTTAATCTTTCCCATAGGAATCTGATGGTTTGCCATTGGTTTTCAAATCTGTTCCCATAGGAATCTGATGGTTTTTGCGTAGTTTCCCCGTTCCCTCATAGGAATCTGATGGTTTACAATGAATTTTCGAATCTTTCCCCATAGGCATCTGATGGTTTACCTTTGGTTTTCAAATCTTTTCCCATAGGAATCTGATGGTTTTTCCGTGGTTTCCTCATCTTCCCTCATACGAATATTGATGATTTACCATTAATTCTCTAATCTTTCCCCAAAGGAATCTAATGGTTTACCATAGGGTTTTCTTATCTTTCCCCATAGGAATTTGATGGTTTACCATAAGTTTTCTCATCTTTCCCCATAGGAATTTGATGGTTTACCATAGGTTTTCTCATCTTTCCTCATAGGAATCTGATGGTTTACCATAGGTTTTCTTATCTTTCCCAATAGGAATTTGATGGTTTACCATAGGTTTTCTCATCTTTCCCCATAGGAATCTGATGGTTTACCATAGGTTTTCTTATCTTTTCTCATAGGAATCTGATGGTTTACCATAGGTTTTCTCATCTTTTCTCATAGGAATCTGATGGTTTACCATAGGTTTTCTCATCTTTTCATAGGAACCTGATGGTTTATCATTGGTTTTCCAATCTTTTCCCATAGGAATCTTATAATAATTGCTTATGGATGAGTGAATGGTCACATTTTTTTGGGGGGCTCGGTTTTTGGACCTCCTCACTGGACCTTGTTGACCTAGTTGACCTATAGGGGGGGGGGTTTATTAATCCGGGGTCAACATTACTGATAATGGTCAGTTGATTATGAGAAAACTCCACCTGTTGCTTTCCATTCTACCATCGTGGTGGCATCCCGCAGCTCTGAAAAACCCACGTCAAGTCACAATGGCTGAAAACCCTTGGTGGCCACCGGTGCCCAGCAACGACAAGGCGCTGCCTGGGTTTCCGACGTCGAAGTTAGGTTTCCATGAGAATCATAGGGAGGTCATGGGGATATCATTGGGAGATACAACAAACAAAAAAAACCTGGGAGATCATGAAGGCATGAAAATATCAGATCTGGTTGGTGGTTTCAACCCCTCTGAAAAAATATTAGCCAGTTGGGATGATTATTCCCAACATATGGAAACATAAAAAAATGGCATATACATCATACATCTTCGAGATATTTCGAGATTATGCTTACAATCCCAATTTCTTGTCACTAAAAAAGCCCCTCATCATCCTCCTGACATTGCCATCATTGTTCATGAAAACATCACGCTTTACTGGAAAAGCCACATGACTATGAATTCAGTTTGGCACAGAGTTGTGTTGTCGGAAATTCCGTATGTATACAAATATATATATATATGGACATCCTGAAGGCATACACCTCTATAAATCATACAACAACAGCTTTCTATACTTTCCAGTAGGCAAATAAAACAGACATGGAAAACCATCCCTAGAAAATGATTCATAAATGGTGGCTTGAACATATCTGTACTAACTTCATATGGCAAAACATAAAACAAAACAACATTTTAACATAACAAAAAAAAACAGCAATGATCCACTTCTATCTATATACATATATATATATATATATACATAATCTAGTCATCCAATCTTTTTCCCATGGTATCCCCATTTTTGTGTTAAAACAACCCAGCCATGGGAAAATTGGGAGCTCCCCGTCCTGTCATCTTGAAGATGGACACCTCCAAGGCGACGGGAGGCACCTGGCAAATGCTACGTGACGTTAAAGTCCCCATCTCAATGAAAAAAACACATATCACGGCACCAAATATCATAGTGTTACTCATATCATACGCGTATCATTCATAATCATCTCAAATCATATCATATCAAATCATATATCTTGGGATAGCCCTTGTTGGAGTTGTTTGTGACCAAATAAACATAACAAAACTACCTCAAAATACGGTGCGCCTGAGAACGGATCTGTGTCATCTTCATACTGGAAGAGTTGAGGAACACCTGGCGCGCTCACCATGGCACCATGGTGATGTCACCGGGAAGTCTACCACTGTTTTTTGGGTAGGAATTGGGTTTTTTGTTCACACCTTTTCAGCAAAAAATCTGGGATAGATGCACTGTTTTTTTTTGTGGAGGGTCATCCCATGTATCCCCGTGGCTGGGACAATCCTCCAAGGAACATGATCAACGTGATGGAAAGACTGAGTCGACAAGATGGCTTTCCATGGCTTTCCAACCCACCAACCGACTGGTTCCAAGAACCAAACAAAACAAACTCCGACGGACTCCGCCACTTGCAATTGGCCACATATTGACATAATGATCCAACTAAGGGTCATGGTCAAAACTTGCACATCATCCACCATTTGGGGTGATGACCCTGCTATCGGGTATGTGAACCAGCTGCACAGGAGGTATGGGAAATGGGTCTATATCAACCCACAACATGGCCAACCCTCGAGGAGATCAAAGAGCCTTCCCAACAGGTGACCCTCCAATGATAGCAGATCCATCGATCATTCGTACCCCTTAAATAAGACACTATACTGGTCGGTGGTATACCTACCCCTCTGAAAAATGATGGAGTTCGTCAGTTGGGATTATGACATTCCCAATATATTATGGAACCATCCATTAAAATCCATTAAAATCCATTAAAATCCATTAAACCACTATAATCCATTAATCCCAATTAATATGGAAAGTCATAAAATTCCATGGTTCCAGTCGCCACCAACCAGAGACGGTTAAATCCCCAATGACAAATCAACCAGCCCCTGCCAGGCAGTGACAGCCCAACCTTCTCTGCATGAAGGGCACCGCTGCTCTGCGCGCTGCTGTTGTGGCAAGTCATCGAAATGTGGCGCCCGGAAAAAAGCCGGCTCTTCTCCAGTTACCCTCTGGTAATTTGTTACAGTTTGCGAACTTGAAAATGGCCATAGAAATAGTGGATTTATCCATTGAAAATGGTTATTTTCCATAGTTTTTTGTAAACGTTTACCAGAGGGTACCACCCGGACCCGGCCTGGCTGCAACTTTTACACACATCTTTGCAGCAAAGTACGAAATGATACAGGCCAATGATGAACCGATTTCCATGTTTTCAAATCTGTTTAGACTCTCTGAACCTGAAAGCCAGGATCTAAATCTCTTGTCTTATATTTGTTTCAGCTATTCCCCAACGATTTAAGATGTTCTAGTTCTAAGTCAGGATCCAAGTCAAGAGTGTTCACACCTTCTGTCATCCTGGGTTGATTGAGCAGGGTTCCCACTTCATTCAGTGAATTAATTAGCAATATAATATGTACATATATATAATATATGTGTACACATCTGTCACCATGTATTTGATGGTTAAAACATGGTCAAGGTTAAACCCATATCAATCTGCTGGACCCCCCGATTCAACAACAAATCAACCAACGAAAAGATAGCATAACCTTGATTCCAAATTCCATTACATCATTCTTTAACTTTAATTCCCATCACATCCCCACTCACTGGTATCAATCAACCATGATCAATCAAACATGTACATATATATATATATATACATCATTATCTATCCAATGTATTTAAAATCTATCCCCATATATTTGACATTTACAATCACAATCACACTGCTTCAATCTCGAAGTCCCATGGAATTACCATGACTCAAGCGCTCCGCCTGTTCACCATCTGCAGATCGCCTCCGACATGCAGCGCCGCCTGGCTCTTGGCGCGGCAGCCGCTTAGATGCACAGCGCTGCCTGCCACGTGCGCAACTTGGTTTATAAACACCCATCTAACTACATCACATCTATAATCAAATAGATATAGAAGAAACTATAGATCTATAGAATTCCAGAAAGTAGGATGTACCCTCTGGTAAACAAACAAAAAAACTATGTAAAATCACATTTTTGAGGTAAATCAACTATTTAACTATGGCAATTTTAAACAGCAAACTGTTACACGACCAAAGGGTATGGTTTTCAACATGGATCCCCAGTGGTCACCATGGATGTTTGAGTACCAGTCATCATGGTCTGACTGGTCTGATGATTCGATTTTGGATGATTTCTGATGGGTACCCAGTCAATAATCCATGACGGATCCATGGTGCTGGTATATATGCTAACATAAAGGGGGTATATTCATGGGATCCATGGCACACCATATATATAGCAGCACCATGGATCCGTCATGGGTAATTCTACAAGATCGCGTGTTGGATGGTGAGCCAAACTCCAGAACTCCAGATAACACAGAGTTCACCAAATCTGGAGCTTACCAGCGCCACCGCAATGGAACTAGCGCAGCTGAGGACGAAAATCCACAAACGCCAAAGGACTGGCGAAAGCGCAGCCGCTCCTGTTCTCCACAATCCCATAGTTGCTTAATGCCTATATTCCATGATAAAAACTCAAAACAATCACCAAGCATTGGAGCCTACACTGACATCAGCAATCAAACTCACTAAACATCGAGATCTAACCAATCAAACCAGGCATTTAAGCCCAAAAAAAATGGGGTTTAACCAAGAACCATTGGATCCCATGTGAATGGTAGAAACCCTCAAACCAGGTGTTGGATGGTCCTGTGGTTAAACTATGTTAGACGTTAAGCAGTGGACACCTGGACAGCATATAGTATGATGTTTTCATATTAATTACAACATCCTTAGTTCCAACCCGTTCTCGTAGCCAAAAAATGAGGCTCTAATAATAATAAACTACAATTATTTTTTTTTTCAACACACATTATGGATTTGGCCGACAGATAGCCACAAAGGGATTGAGCCGATAGAAAACCACCAAGGGATTTGGAATGGAACCTCCCAAAAAAAACATCTACTCCTTTGGAAGCGCCTCGCACCGTCATGGATCGTACGGCATGAATACCTCCATATCGTGGGAATCGGGATCCCAAAATGATTGGATGACTACTCGACATGGCGATCTCATCCTTATCACTGGACAACACTACAACAATGATGACAATCATCTGATCATTAATTGGTGGATACCCTATCCAGAACTGAAATTGTTGAACGTCAAAAAACTGATCATGGAGCCAAACAAAGTGACACACAATCACACATTTTGGCAAATGGAGACAATGATCATAATTACTTCCTTGATAAATTATCCTGCCAATTTGAAGTGAGGCCTCGAAACAAAAAAAACATCGGCCATCATGCCTGAGTGAATTTGCAAGAGCTCTCTCTTCACAATCGTTGCTGAAAGTATTGTTTGGATACTTCACAAAAAAAACCCAGGCTCCTTAGATAAGGCTTCACGCAATTGATGCTTTTCCCTCAGACATGTTTCTTGTTTTCCAGTGATTGGTGGAAGACCAGGTCCAGTCGCTTTCTGTTACCTTTTTAGAATCAAACCTGCTCTGCCGGAAAATCCTACATGATACTGTAGTACGAGTATGCATGTAAATGTAATTAGTTATGCGTTCTTCCGCTGTACACGTAATGCCCAAACATGTGTACAGAAAAGATCATCAAACATTTTCCTCATTGACATGTGTAGATGATGTTCACCATTGAAAATAACAAGTACTGTTACTCACTGGTAAACGTTTACAAAAATCTACGGAACATCACCATTTTATAGCTGGGTAAATCAACTATTTCGACTGGGCCATGGCTTCCAGTTCGCTATATCTGTTTGTTTACCATTGATATTAACCATCATTAACCATAGCTATATCCCCATAATATCCATCATTAACCATAGCTATATCCCCATAATAACCATCATTAACCATAGCTATATCCCAATAATAAGCATCATTAACCATAGCTATATGCCATTAAATATCCCATATGGAAAACCATCCATTTTTCCCCAGCAAACTGTGAGTCATGACCAGGCCGGGTAAATGTTCTCCCAAATCCACCGGATTGTCATCCGCCGAAAATGCAGAAGCCATGCACAGCCATTTAGTTGTTGGTCATGATATATTCCCAAAGATATTCCCATTTATATATATATGTATATATATATGTATATATATATATATATATCCAATGATATTCCAATTATTAGGTTTATTGCCCTCCCATTAACAATGATATTCCCATTCTCAATGATATTCCCAATTGGTTCGAACCATGGCAGCCATGATTTTCAGGTCATTTTGGGGCGTTTTTCCTCACCAAGTTGCAGGAGCCATCAAAACCACTCGCGGCATCGTCAATTTCCTTGGGAAATCCAAGAAAAATTCTACTGCGACCCTCAAACAGAAAACTCGCCTGCTACTGTACATATATGTGTATAATTAGATAGATAGATAGATAGATAGATTAGATAAATTGATTGATTGATTGATTGATGGACTGAAAACATCATAAATGACATTCCTGTTATCTTTTTGGGGGTTGTTGGTGGTTGTTGCACAACAAAAGCATCTTTTTTACAGTCGAGGATCATGCAACGGAACACATCCTGTAAGCAACAAACAGACCTGTGAACATCCAAGTTGGGAAAACACCGACTTTCTGCTCGTCGGCTTGTAATCAACAGAAAATACTGTGGTAAACATATTTAATATATGTATATATATATATATGTTTCAAATGGTTAGATGCCCTTTTTGGCCGGTTAAAAGACATTTTTCTGCTTGAGTTTCTCTTGTTTTCTTCAACATGATAACATGGTTTTTGAGTTCCTTCAATGATGTCCGATCTTGGATCAAGTATTGTTGTGAATCATTTTGGATCACAGGATTCTGGATCGAAAAAACATATTTGGACGGATCATTCTGGATACATGTTTGCTTTACACATATTAGGCACACTAGCATTATGAAAAAAACAAGAAAATAATATGACTATGAATATATATATATATATATATTTATATATATATGTATTATTTTACTAAATATTCAAGAGCTCCACCATCAGCGAAAGTTTCCATCCCAGTTTCCACGCTGGAGTTCCGCAGCTCCAAGTGAAACGCGTAGATGCCGCCACCTGGCGTCCCAGGCCCCGTCGCAACCCATCCGCAGCTCTTTCAAGTCATGATTATGGAGATTTTATAGTGATTTTATGGTGATTTACTGGTGATTTTATGGGATCTAATGGTGGTTTCATGGGGTTTTATGGTGACTTAATGGTGTTGAATGGTGATTTAATGGTGCTGAATGGGGTTTAATGATGACTTTATGTTGTTTAATGGGGCTTTTATTATATTTATATAATGGAAAGATACGGCAATGAGAATCTAATGGAATGTCATGGTGATACAATTGGATTTAGTTTCCAATAAACCTAACATTGCTGTGGAGAAAAAACAAGTTTAATAGGTACATCCAGGGTACATCATTTATCAATGGGCCATCTATACATATCTGTACCATAGCAAAGTGTCAAATTCCCAGAGGGTACCAAATGTAGCAATTATTTTTTTCCTGACATTGTGGTTACACACATGTACGACGGTTGGTGAGCTACTTGGATGAGCCTAGAAATCACAGTACCGGATATGAATGCTTTGCAACTGGGTAACATCCCCAGTCGAATCACTGTGACATCGGAGGCAAGACTCCCAGGAATCGAAGTTTTCGCCCCATCAACTCGGTGCCAGTTTACGGCCGATTCGGCTCAACGAAGCAAAAATCCTGAAGAACCCATTGCCCTATGGCCCTATCGGATTTATCCAGTGACTTCATGTGACTTCTCTGTCTTTCTACCTCGGATCTATCTGTAGATCTAGCTAGCAAACTAGCTCTCTTCTCTCTGTCTATCTAATCTATTTATCTCGAACCTTATCCATCTACGGGCAAAACTTGCATGGACGTGGTTTTAACTCATATTGCCGTTCGGAATATGATCTAGTTTCGTTCACCTCTATGATAGTTCACGGGAGGGTAACGGGGTTTATCAACCAACAAACATATGGTTAAATCCCATTCAAAACCCCTTTTCCAATCACCATTTAAGTCCCATGTCCAATCACCAGGTCTTGTTGATACTATAAATCCCATGAAAAAAAAACATCAATCCAAAAATCTCCACCAATTCACCGGCAGTTTCCGTGCCTTTGGACGCTAAGGTTTGCGATGCATCCAACGACTGGCCATGGAAGCGGGAGTCGATGAGCACAAGGCGCTTGTGGGAGTAGGTCTCAGCGCTGGGGTGAGCTGGTGCCCTTTGTTTCGGGGAAAATCATGGAACAACTAGGGTTATATATGTTACAAATATCTATATATATATATACATATATATGTATAAATATATTAATATATATATATATACAAACACATTTGTTTGTTTGTTTATTTATATATAGATATATAGATAGACTATTACATGGTTTCATTCTTGGCATATGATCCAAGGGCTACATTTTTCAAACCATTCTTGGCATAATCATTTAACATAAGTCGTGATCGTGATCATCAAACATCGGATGATCAGCAAACTAAATTTAGCAAACCATGGCTCCTCTTCTAAACAGCAATTTTTCGGGTGAGTTGTGATGAAGTGAGGAACTCACTTTTCGGTGTATCCCCAATTTATGTGGGGAAATAACAGCAGTGCTAGAGATGAATCATTCTTCGTGGAAGATGAATCACAGCTGACCCATCTTGTTTGGCCACCAACTAAGTTGCTGGTGAGTGATTCTAATGTGGGGTGACAACCAAATAATCATCAAACAATCAAATATCAACTATCCGTCACCGACTGGGCTGCTTAGGGAAGCTTAACTTGCTTGTTTTCTGGAAAAGCCACAGTTTTTTCCCAAAGGACGAACAAACACATCTGACAGGCAGATCCGAAACAATCATTCCATTTAGGATGTCACAGTTGCAACGCTGCACGATGCTTTCGCTCGGAGCTTTCTGGGCAGTAGAGATCTACCTGACTTCCCCTGACTTCTTATTATTGACTGACTAGCTCTGGTGGCAGGCAACCCGAGTAGGAAAGAGCCATCTTCCAAAGATGGAACTTTTTTTGACGGTCCCAGCTTCAATTTCATGGGTGCAAAAGTTTGAAACGCATAATTGCAATGTCATCTCTGCTATTCCAAGCTAACAACTGGTTCATAATCAAGGTTGTAGTAAATGCACTAATAGATGGGATAAACCCCAAAACCCAGTCTATTGAACCTCCTAAGCTAGGTTAATTATCACAGCGACATCAGCAAGTTGCAGGAACTCAATTAAAGTGATGAGGGTGCCCACATTGGATTGAAGTGATGATCAAGGCGATGATGGATCTAAACTCCTTCGTTGTCATCATTGGCTCTGGTTACCCTCCAACTATTCTGGAGGAAAGGGCAGGTGCATAGACCGGGCCGCAGCACATTGTCTTGACTCAGGGTTTTCAACTGGCGAGAACATCCGGGAAGACCAATGGACGTCAATTTTGCGGCACGCAGCGCCAAAATCAGAATAATTCTTGTGGATCCAAAATAAGTACCCCAATGACACGGTCCATACCCAGATCTCAAAGCAATGATTCAACGGAAAAGGGAAAAAGACTGTCCTATTGCATCCAATGGTTGATCATCATCTTCCACCGAACATAAACGTAAACCGAGGAGAAAAAATACACGAACCATTTTTGCACTCAAATCAATGGACTGATTTTAAGGAGAAACATGCAGGTAAGCGGTTTACAACTTTAAAATGTGTTATTTATGTGTGTTTCCTACAAACTCTTTCCTTCAGCCAATTCCATCCCCACATCCCCTTTGTTTTACAGATATCTTTGGTCCAATCTCCATTTCGAGTGGCCGCCCCTCCGTGGCCATAGGCGAAGCCGTTCGAGATCGACAGGGAGGAGGACCTGGCAGCCCCCTATCTGAAAGTCATCAGGGACCATCATCCCATATGGAACATTGAAACATAGAAACTAACCACATGCGACCACCACATAGTTTTTCGAAGTCTACACTAACATGATTCTCCCAACTTCTCGGCTTCTGGCTCTACACAAAAGCTGGCCCACAACGAAAACAATGGCTGGGGATGGCTGTTCTGATTCAGAACTTGGCATGGCGACCAGACAATTCTTCAATTTCAGTGGGTTAATGTCAATTCTTTTCCCATGAGTTTTGTTGGGGAAATCTAGAAGAAATCTCTGTTGAAGGCCAACAAGAACACAGTGTCCTATCGATTTTAACAATCAATCTATTGAATCATCCTTGAAAATTTCCTCACAATTGTTCGGCTGATACTATGTATCTACATAGCATACAGTACCGTGAATTCATAATCATATTGGGGGGTTCTTAAGTCATGGGGGATTCCCAGTCGTCACCATGGTTGTTTCAACACTAAGTCATGGTGGTCCCTCTCCCTGGTTTTGTTGCGATTTGCATAGACTTAATCCACTGAGCAAAAAAAGGGTTATGTAAGTTATGTATGGCCCACCAAGAATGGAAAAAAACCGTGAATTGCGAATCATCTTGGGCCATGATGGCCATGAAACCCCCCATTTTGGTGCTGTGAAATCTCCCATTTGGATCCAGATTCACAAAAAGCGCTGGTGCCTGGCCACCAGCATGTCGGCCAGGATTCCGCCTCCGAGGTAGGATAGGCATAGGAGTTGTAAAAATGGGATTATCATAGGAAATGATGGGAAATCCTAAGGTAAAAATGGTGCCTTAATGGTGATTTAATGGGTATTTAACCATCAAAATTAATGGGATTCAATTGGATTGAATATTCATACCCATAGGAAACATGTATGCTATATATGGTAACATGGATCCCATCAATATACCCCCTCTATGTTAGCATATATTACATGGATCCGTCATGGGATAGGACATCATCTGGTTGGTGGTTTTAACCATACTCTACAATACTCTACAATTAATAGTATTTCTGGTTGGTGGTTGACCTACCCCTCTGAAAAATGATGGAGTGAATGTCAGTTGGGATGATGAAATTCCCAACTGAATGGAAAGTCATAAAAGCCATGTTCCCAACCACCAACCAGTATTAATAGGACATCATTATCATAGGAAATCCGTATGTTCATTATGATCATCAAAGGAAAAGTGATGGGAAATCATGAGATGATCATAGGGAAATCACATTTCAGTCATGATCAACTAGGAGTTTGCTATGGAAAATTGCAGATTTATGGATGATTCACCTATTGAGCATGGTGATTTTGCATGGCTATGTAAGTTTACATTTTTCTATACACATGTTTATATCTACTTTAATCATACAACCAAAATATGTTGCGGTCAGTGTCAAGTACCCTTGACCACACTGTACCTATTGGTTGTGGGAACATCTGAGTACTGCCTGGCCAATAAAGCAGCCAGAGGGCAAAAAGGACGTCTACCATGGAGAATAGCCAAACAACTTGCAGATTTGCGACATGCAACTAGACAATAAACCAACATAAACCAACAAAGAAAACGGCAAAGGTCCTTGCTAGTTATTTTATCTATCTCTCTATCGATCTCCATCGATCTCCATCTATCTATCGATCTATCGAACTATCTATCTGTATATATATATATACATCCATCTATTGATCTCTATCGATCTCTATCGATCTCTATCTATCTATCTATTCACATATTGTTTTGGATCCCATTCTGATTTCAACTCCAGTGTCAAAACACTTCAAAGCGCCTTCAGGCCGAGAAAAAACAGTTGGTTGATATATGCAGATATGCGGGTTTATACTTACCATCCAACCTTTTTAATCTGTTGGGAAAAATGTATATATATATATATATAGCACATTCCATGAACAATTAATATCTTGGGGATTATCATACTCCATGTTTTTTTTTTCAGAAACTCCTTGGGAATCCCTACCAGAATCCCCCAAGGATCGACGTCCGCCTCCGTTCCTTGCCCAGGCATAGGAGATCTCCACGCTGGAATTCTCCAGTCGCACCTGGGGATGTAGGACTTGATGCTAACGTAGGTTAAGTATAGTTCAACTGGATAGTTAACATTTTGTATGTTAATAACTAAGGTTAATCTTGACCATTAGTTACTATGTCTTGCTAGTAGTTACAATTAGTTACTATTACTTACTGTAAAATATAGTTGTACCAAATATGTTCTGGACTTACTGTACTATACCCTCTTAAGGATACTTTAGGATTAACAGTCTAGGAGTATATGCATATATACAAATTATATATATATATATCATATATCTAATTTTATACTATGTGGTGTTAATAACTGAGGTTAATCTTAACCATTAGTTACTATTAGTTACTATCCATAAGAGTTAAGATAAGTCTGGGGATGTCATGGTCCAATGGTCGAAGCTGAACTGAACCATTCAGTCAGGCTGATTTAATATGATTTCGTAGGATATTAATGGGAATATTATCGGATACAAAACCATCTAATTAGAATGAAGAGTTGGACGGTGTGCATATTCCGGGATGGTATCAATTAGATAGGGATTTGTAGTGATTCATATGCAGGGTATGATGCATCCCTTGATGGTGGGATGACCATATCCCAGATGCCATGTCTTGACCATGGCACACGTACTATGCATCCGATTATTGTGTATGATGATATCATATAGCCATATTCCAAACAAGGTGGGCGTTGTAACTATATGGGTACTCAATACTGCTACCAGATCGAAGTATTAGTATCAATGTGGATATGTATCCACCGAAAAAAACATTGATGCTCAATACTTTTTGGTCTCTGATATGACATTCTTGAAGAAACACTACTAAAGGTAAAGGCATTATATAACCAACATTAACCAACCAAACATTACCAAACTACAGTTTACTCATCAACCCATGAACGTTGGATGACAGCAAACCAATTCAGGTTAACCACCATGTTTCATCATGCCCAATCAACTGGATACGTTGCGTTTACGATGCAGTTTTAGCTGGTTGCTATATACACATCCCCATTCAGAAGGTTGATCCGGTGATTTTAATTTAGCCTTTATGGATCTTCATTTTCTGCCCAGGCACGTTCTTGGCAAAGATGCTTCCACCATCCATCCTGGCATAGGACCTCTCAGTCACCTTGGCTAGAGTCAACTTTCAGGAGGACACATGACAGTGGAATTTTAACATAGCTGTGATAGATGAATCATTTATAAATAAATGGGTGAAACATCTATATACATATATATATATATATGTATAATGGGTAAATCAATAGTAACACATGGAAAATCACCATCTTTAATAGGTGAATAATCAAAGTAACTGGGTCATTTTCCAAAGCTATATGTTCCATTGCCAGAGGGTACATGGCGGGAGCAACGCCCAAATCATCGCAAATTTCACATTGAAAAGAGGAGTTTTTTGAGTGCTGTCAAACGCAAATTGTAGGAGGGAATACGCCAAAGCTTTGAATCCAGTTTAAGACATTTGGAGTAGGGGGGCATTGTAGTTCCCGGGGGCTAAATGTTGATTCCCAAGACTTTCAAATGGGAGCCTGCGAAATTAAGCCAGGTCCCACGTTTACTATGAACCAGCGCGGCCGTTTGATCAGATTCATACATCAGCAAGGGTATCTCATGCGATATATTCCCGTCTCCCCAAAATAAGCAAAACCAATTCAAAACCACTAGGCAGAAGGGATGATAGTGGTTTTTGAACAATTCTTGGGTATTTCGTGTATAATCTGTATAATTGTGTATGTGTAGTAAGTTCTGGTCCACTGCTAGAAGAATAACATGTCCCATCTCAAAGATCCACAATGTGTAGAATGCGGGGCCCTCCAAAAATTTAAAGCTGGAGATCACAAGTTTATTGTAGATATACCAGTAGTACCGCACAAGGCGGTGGCGAAAGTCTGTCTATCTGTCTATCTATCTGCCTACCTGTCTATCTGTGGTGCAGTGTCATTCAGTGTAATGTAGTGTAGTGTAATGTAGTGTGGTGTAGTGGAGTGTAGTGGAATGTAGTGTAGTGTAATGTAGTGTAGTGTAATTTAATGTAGTGTAATTTAGTGTAGTGGAGTGTAGTGGAGTGTAGTTGTGTAGCTGTAGTTGTAGTTGTAGTGTAGTGGAGTGTAGTGGAGTGTAGCGTAGTGTAATGTAGTGAAGTGTAGTGGAAGGTAGTGTAGTGTAGTGTAATGTAGTGAAGTGTAGTGTAATTTAGTGTAGTGGAGTGTAGTGTAGTGTAGTGTAATGTAGTGTAGTGGAGTGTAGTGTAATGTAGCGTAGTGTAGTGTAATTTAGTGTAGTGGAGTGTAGTGGAGTGTAGTGGAGTGTAGTTGTAGTTGTAGTTGTAGTTGTAGTGTAGTGGCGTGTAGTGTAGTGTAATGTAGTGAAGTGTAGTGGAAGGTAGCGTAGTGTAGTGTAATGTAGTGGAGTGTAGTGTAATTTACTGTAGTGGAGTGTAGTGGAGTGTAGTGTAGTGGAGTGTAGTGTAGTGTAATTTAGTGTAGTGGAGTGTAGTGGAGTGTTGTGGAGTGTAGTTGTAGTTGTAGCGTTGTGGAGTGTAGTGTAGTGTAATGTAGTGTAGTGTGTAGTGTAATTTAATGTAGTGGAGTGTAGTGGAGGGTAGTGGACTGTAGTGGAGTGTAGTTGTAGTTGTAATTTAGTGTGGTGTAATTTAATGTAGTGGAGTGTAGTTGTGTAGCTGTAGTTGTAGCTGTAGTGTAGTGGAGTGTAGTGTGGTGTAATGTAGTGAAGTGTAGTGGAAGGTAGTGTAGTGTAGTGTAATGTAGTGAAGCGTAGTGTAATTTAGTGTAGTGGAGTGTAGTGTTGTGTAATGTAGTGTAGTGTAGTGTAGTGCAGTGGAGTGTAATGTAGTGTAGTGTAATTTAGTGTAGTGGAGTGTAGTGGAGTGTAGTTGTGTAGTTGTAGTTGTAGTGTAGTGGCGTGTAGTGTAGTGTAATGTAGTGAAGTGTAGTGGAAGGTAGTGTAGTGTAGTGTAATGTAGTGTAGTGGAGTGTAGTGTAGTGTAATGTAGTGTAGGGCAGTGTAGTGTAATTTACTGTAGTGGAGTGTAGTTGTGTAGTTGTAGTGTAGTGGAGTGTAGTGTAGTGCAGTGGAGTGTAGTGTATAATGTAGTGTAGTGTGTAGTGTAATTTAGTGTAGTGGAGTGTAGTGGAGTGTAGTGGAATGTAGTGTAGTGGAGTGTAGTGTAGTGTAATTTAGTGTAGTGGAGTGTAGTGGGGTTTAGTGGAGTGTTGTGGAGTGTAGTTGTAGTTGTAGCGTTGTGGAGTGTAGTGTAGTGTAATGCAGTGTAGTGTAGCGTAATGTTGTGTAGTCTAGTGAAGCGAAGTGAAGCGAAGCGACATCTAAACCTCCAAAAGCAGTCCGAATCCCTGGTGTTTTTAACATTTTGACTTCGAAATGTGCTTCGCGCCACAATGGCGTGCACTTTTTCGACATCTCCACCTCCAAAAGTGGTCCGACCCCCTTGTGTTTTTAACATTTTGACTTCAAAATGTGCTTCGCGCCACAACGGCGTGCACTTTTTCGACATCTCAACTGCCAAAAGTGGTCTGGAGCTGGTGTGTTTTGTACATTTTGACTTGGAAATGCGCTTCGCGCCACAACGGCGTGCACTTTTTCGACATCGCAACTTCTAAAAGTGCTCCGAAGCTGAGGTGCTTTGCACATTTTGACTTGGAAATGTGCTTCGCGCCACAACGGCGTGCACTTTTTCGACATCTCAACTTCCAAAAGTGGTCCGAGAATGGTGTGCTTTGTACATTTTGACTTCGAAATGTGCTTCGCGCCACAACGGCGTGCAATTTTTCATCTCTCATCTGGCCAGCTGGCTCCGCACCTGCCGCTTTAGCAAGCTTACTTTTCGACCCTCCGGAGCCCCAAATCATTGGAAAAACACAGTGTTTCGCGACTTTCCTACCTTTTCGCGCATCTGCATCTTCTTTCTTCTTACTCTTTCTCTTCTACTCTTCTTTCTTCTTATCTTTCTCTTCTCTCTGCCTCTTCCCTGCCCTGCTTTTCATCTGTCCATATTGTCGGAAGTTTGACTTCTAAACTTCCTTCGATGATATATCATGATATATCTATGGTTAGGTGGGTGACACTAAATCAACTTTAAATTGGAAGGGGGCGCACATTGTACGCACGACAATTTTCTGTAGGATCTTCACCTACTCCTGTCATCACACTGGTCGCCTGATGCTTCGTTCGCACACTAGTTGACCCCTTTCTGCATGGAGAATCCTTGATGTCAAGGGTCAAAGGGTCCAAAAAAGTTAAACACACATTCCAAACTATAGGTACTATTCAAATCACATTCGACTTCAAAATTCTCTACGGAAAATGGAAGCTTGAATCGTCCAAAAGGTCCGATTGCTGGGGTCCCCTTGGAACGCCAGGAGAAGTTGCTTCAGTCGTCAGTTCCAACGCAGTCGGAAATTCTTGTGGATTGCATTCCCAAACGTGGCCAACGACAGTCCGACGGTGACGAGAGAAACTCCAATAAGGACCTGCTGCGGCACCCTTGTGGCAGCGTCCTTGATCACAGCCATTGACAGCAGCTTTGACTGTTCGGTTGGCTTCCCAGTTTGGAGGGTTTAATTCCATGTTCTTAGTGTTTATTGGTCAAATCCGCTGTTATCCTGTGTATTGGTCAAATCACTTGCAGTAAAGGAAGTATGTTTGATGGTTCGGTTCGACCGAGAAAAAACCCAATCATTAGATGCAAATCTTGATGGTTCAACTACACAACCTCCCCGATAATTAGATATAATTAGTATCTGTATAATGGTTAAACCAAGTAACGAATGCAAAATAGTTATATCCCATCCAAGCATACCGGTTGGTCAATAGGAAACCAGTTTGTATAACCCCTTATATTGACCCATCAACAGGCGCAGTTTACATATTTTGTGTATAGATGTTTTACCAATTCAACATGACCATTTTCCACGGCTATATTAGATTACCAGAAGGTAAGCCCCCGATTCCTAGCTAGCCAGTTCTGGATGACATTCGAGGATATTATCAGCATCATCCCCATGATTATTCCATTAAGTTATTCCCAACATATCCCACCATTACCCTCTGGTAAACTAACATAGCTATGGAAAATCACTATTTTTAATGGGTAAATCCACTACAAATGGCCATTTTCAATAGCTATGTTAGTTTACCGGAGGGTACCCCACCATCAAAAAGCCCCTGTTTGGAGGATCATCTCATGTATCTATTGACTGGGCTAACCCACCGAATGGGAACTTCCTAGCGGTTATAAAAAACCACTAACTAAGTTAACTCACTATGAACCACTCATATTAGTCTGAACTATGTGGGGTCATGAACCCATCAACCACTTATTAACCACTTATTGCCCACTTAACCCAAGTGCTTCCCCCAGCGTCAACCTCAACGCGTTGAACGCCCGCGTGACAATGGTGGATCCTTCACAGCGCAATACGCCGCGAAAGGACACGGCGATGGCGCCACCGCGCGTGGCGTTGGAGGAAACGACCTGGCGTTGGATCAGCGATGAGGACCTGGGTCACTAATGGCGTTGGATATTAAGGTACATGTTGTTGTATTTGAGTAAAAGATGACTCAATATATATATACACATTTACTTAATTACTTATTTGTTCATTATTTATTTATTTTTAGCAGTATGTATATATATATATATATATATCACTATATCTCTATAATATATAAGGATTAATTGTTATTGGAATATGCTATAAAGTATATGTATAATATGATGGTGTACCATTGGATCCAAATAAATGTGATATATTCTATATAGCTGTCTACTTAATACATATATATATACATAAATGCCATACGTGTGATAAATAACAAATTACTTTACTTCGTGTGATCCCCACCATGACATTTATACATTTTCTTACTGGCAAATCTTCTGGCATTCTATCTGACATATCTTCTGACATTCTATTTGACATTCTATCTGGCATATCTTCTGGCATATGATCTGGCATATCTTCTGGCATATCTTCTGGCAAATCTTCTGGCATTCTATCTGGCATATCTTCTGGCACTCTATCTGACATATCTTCTGGCATTCTATCTGGCATATCTTCTGGCATATATTCTGACATATCTTCTGGCATTCTATCTGACATATCTTCTGGCATATATTCTGACATATCTTCTGGCATATCTTCTGGCATATCTTCTGGCATATCTTCTGACATATCTATCTGGCATATCTTGTGGCATATTTTCTGGCATTCTATCTGGCAAATCTTCTGGCATTCTATCTGGCATTCTATCTGGCATATCTTCTGGCATATTATCTGGCATTCTATCTGGCATATCTTCTGGCATATCTTCTGGCATATCTTCTGACATTCTTTCTGACATTCCTTCTAACTTTCTTCTGCACATTCTTTGTCCCATATCTTCCTACATGAGGTCCGGCAGGGAACACTTGGCGTGGATACTCGCGGTTGAGGTCCGGCAGGGAACACTGGGCGTGGATGGTCGTGGTTGAGGTCCGGCAGGGAACACTGGGCGAGGATGGTCGTGGTTGAGGTCCGGCAAGGAACATTGGGCGTGGATGGTCGTGGTTGAGGTCCGGCAGGGAACACTGGGCGTGGATGGTCGTGGTTGAGGTCCGGCAGAGAACACTGTGGATCGCGGGGCGCAGTTGAGCAAGGACGACGAGGACGACGAGGAGGACGAGGAGGAGGAGGAGAGGAGGACGAGGCAGGAGGAGGCGGAGGAGGAGGAGAAGGAGGAGGAGGAGGAGAAGGAGGAGGCAACTGACATAAAATCTAACAACCCTCACCTGGCAGGTGGGGAAAAAAACATTGATCAACATGTTAATCACACAACGGTGACTTGGATCTAGATTAATTATCCCAGAAGATATCTGGTTGGTAGTTGACCAAGCCCTCTGAAAAATATGTTGGTCAGTTGGGATGATGAAATTTCCAATGGAAAAATAAACCACCAACCAGATATCCTTTCTGAAACAGTGGATTACAATCCATATTTTTCACGAGTTGGGTACCCAAAATCACACAAGGGAAAACTTCACCCACTTCTTCAACACCGAGAAACTTTCAGGAGTATCCCACTCGCTTTGATCAGTCCTGGTCGGCCTATGTTGGCAACAAACCCATAACCCCAGTTGCTGTGAGGCTTTTTTAATGTTCATTGAAACATGTGGATTTAGCCGTATGTGGCACAATTCATTTTTGGACACCGATGGATTTTTCACACCAGGAATTCATACCTGTTCCTCTTATCTCATCTTATCTCTATGTTTAAAGTTAAACCTTTCTACTGTTCTGCCTTGTGTGTCTTTGTTTGTTGTGCGATTTCAAAGGATTTTCATTTTGGGATGCTTAAACAAAGGGCATTTTATTTTGGGATGCTTAAATGAAACTAATTTTATATACCAAAGTTGACTCCTCATGGGGGTGCTGCTAATACGAAGCTAATTCAACAAAATTGACCTCTCATGTATGCTCCCACGACGCTAATTTCATCAAATTTAGCGGATGTATGAATTCCGGGTGCTCTAGAAAATGTATCCCAAAACCTTGTTGACCTTGTTGACCTTTTGGGCGGGAGGGGAGGATATTAAATTCAGAGCTATCATTATATATATATATATGAAACATCTAACCAATCCAACACGCCCAACGTTGGGCAAATGCCATGCGTGAAGCTTGCACTCGAATGCTGGTGCAAACGATGTCCATAGTGTGAATCAGAGACTGTCGTTTCTTCGGTGCTTTGCCATGCAGAAAAGCATTGAAGAGCTCATGTGCAAAGAACGATGGCTCCACCACAGCATCTGCACGCTTCTTGCTATGTGCACACCTCTGGTCCAGAAATTTGGACACTGCAGCAAACACCCAATCGTCAGATAGCCACGTCCGCCAATCAAAGTTGACGTCACTCCTCAACCGACGTTTCTTGGATATGCACTCCTAGAGCCTTTGGATTTTGGCTCACCTCCTCCAAGATGTCCGCGTTGTCGTCAATGAGACACGCACACTTGTGCTCGAAGTGAGATGTAAAAGCCTCGATGCAAGCCGCTTTCCCTTCACGTCCTAAAGGTTCGAAGGTTACGATGATGCCAGAAATCAAAGGATGCAACCCTGTGGAATTGTTCCAAACGGTTTTGCAAGACTGATATCGATCTGTTCCTAGGGTTCCGGAATCTTAAGAAGCCTCACCTCATGGCCGATTCTCTGCTAGTTGGAGGTTTCGTACTTCAAAACAAGACATGCAACAGCTGAATGAAATGTCGCATTGGATCTGGCCCTCTGGCTGACATAGTTTAGGATTACCAAGCTTAACTAAGGCATGTTTTTGTGAGAACTATCCTAATCTGTCGCAGAGGTCGTTCAAAAAAATGCCCAGCAATTTTCACCATTCATCCCATTGGTGCTGAAGGGCCACCGTGTGTCATCCCATTTGGGTGTGTCTGAACATGATTCCCAAGTCACCATAGGTTTCAATACTGATGTATATATATCTTAAAATGACTACGTACATATATATATATGTGTATATATATACACGTATATTAAAATTATATAATACTTATGTTATCATAAGTCTTTACTACCAATATAAATATTAAATATTAAAAGATTGTCAAATTTTGAATGATTTTTGGATTTGGGGGTACCACCATTGTTTCCTCATAAAATGCCTCAAAAAGGAAGTGCCCCTACTCTTCACCCTACTCTTCAAGCATTTTCAATGATGTCCCACTATAAACCATCCATTCTTTTGGTGGAAAAAAATGGGGAAACCCCATTGGTTGATCCTTTTTGGTGACCATGACCTAAGCTTCAGTCCACCTGCACCGAGCTGTTCTGAAGCTTCAGTCCACCACGGCCCGCGGAGATCGCCTCGGACAAGATTCCTGATCGACTCCCCAAGTATCATTGATTTTGCATGATTTTGCATTGGGAAAATCACACATCAATCACATCATCTTCAGCAAGTCCAAGACTCACCAACTGCCCCCCCGCCCCATCTAAGTGGCCAAAGGCGTACAAGTACGCCGGGCCCTGTTAGAGTCACTTCAAGTCAACTTGGATCATCCCATAGGCTGTTAAACATCACCAACCAGTGGCATCAGTTCAACCACGTTCAATTGGTACAGTGACTGGTGAATGTGAACAATCCGGAAACACATTGAAAATCTGGTTGGTGGTGCAAACACACCATCTTGAAAAATGATGGAGTTCGTCAATGATTGGCGGATGACATCCCATATATGACATGGAAAATCATCCAGCCATGTTTGAAACCACCAACCAGAATCACCATTAATCATTATTAACCATGATTAACCATGATTAACCCATTACAAACCCCATTAAACACCATTAACCAACCAGCGGTTCTGTCAACCAAGCGACTCCTCCATCCTTCCGCGCCGAGGCGTTGAAAAACGCGAGCCTTGCGTTTTAGAACGAGAGTCGTGACGCCGCCCGGGGTGGACCGGCCAAGGCTGCCAAGGGTTTAACAAAGGGCCACCTTTAAACCAACTGACATACCTGAAACTTGATTTAACAGGACAACCTTCATATTACCCACTTAAGTTGGTTAATACTTTTGTTCCTGATGAGTTTACCCATTTGTTGATCAAGACTCAAGGCTTCAAATTCACGATAAAACACACTGTGAGTCTTTCCGTGCATATCATTAAAATGATGTTGAAGTAAGTCCAGACCATAAGTACAACTTGAATCCGTTGGAAAGTCGCAGGCATCCAGCTGGTACATCCAGCTGGCATCAACATAGCGTAGCATGGCGTATCAAGGTCATTTGAAACTCACCAACGTTTTGTTTTAAGAGTCCAATTCCAAATCATTCATTTTCCCATGGTACCAAATCATGAAACATTTTCCATATGATTAACCACTATTCATGAAAAATACTATCATGTTCACCAATGTTCATCCATTGTAAATTGATGTCAATCGCCCCTTCTGAAACCGATCCCTCCCATCGCGGCGCCTGGCATTCTCCACTTCCAGTGCCGTCACCTGGAGATCTCTGGAGGAATCACTGTAAATCATGATGGATCATCTATGGAAAATCTATGGAACATCTATGGATAATGATGGAAAATCTATGGATAACCTATGGATAATGATGGATAATGCTGGATAATGATGGATAATCTATGGATAATACAAGGATAGGGATGAACAGTGACTGTAATGAAAAATAATGGACGTGAATTTCTCTGGTTTCTCCGGAAATTGCTCAGATTTACCACTTACCACCAATTTTCCATCATCTTGACACAACTCCCGAAACTTCAGCCACCATGTCTGGCCAAGTAAATCGCCTTCGTTGAAAATAACCGCTCAATAGTGGACAATCGAATTGTCTTCAAATTGGAACAGTGGTTTTCGAGCACACCATATTAAATTGCCAACGGGTAAGTGGGAGTGAGTCAAGTCAGTGGAGTAACCCAAATCACTGTGACTGTCACTTGAAATCATCCTTTTTTGAGACGATTCCTCCAATCGGAACTCTAATTTACAGAACGCTACTTGAGACAAGTCTCAGTTGGGCTTCTCAGAATGGCTACCCCAAAATCCCCATGGTTATCAAGATGGTTTCCCCAGCCAGGCCCATTCAGCCAAAGATCCAAGATTTGTCCCACTCTTCCCATGTTTGACATCCCAATTTTCCTGGTGAAACCTACCCTCTGGTAAACGTTCACGTAACTATGGAAAGATCCACCATGCTATTAATGGATAAATCCACTATAAATGGCCATTTCCAATGTCGCAAACTTTATCATTCGAGGCAATTCGAGGGTAGCATTCGAGTCTCGCATCCAAATCGGACATCCCCATGAAAATCTTCGTTTCGAAATCCCCATCCGTTGGACAAAAAAAAGGCACCTCGAAACGAAGGCGATGGAAATGGATCCCACCACTGATCTGCCAAGGTCCCTGGCGGACGGACTGCAGACCCTTGCAAAGGTGCCCCTGAGACGTGGTTTAGAAGCACTTTGACTAGAGTGTAGTGTGGATATATATATATATATATGTATATGTATATGGATGGAAGAAATCCTGCACCAGTTGATATATATATATATATATGTATATATATATAGTTTACCCCACTAATTAATCCCTTCCTCCTAATACTAAATAAACGTCCCCCTAATACTAAAAACAGGCATCCATCTCCAATTTCCGAAAATTTCAGTTTGGCCAATTTGACTTTTAATTGATCCCCTTTAAAAAACAATTCAAAAATCAACCTACCATTTGTGGGTTCTCCCCCCTAATACTAAAAACTAGTTCACCCCGGGGTGTTTAGTATTAGGGGGGCCTAGTCCCAATCCCTCACTCCAAGCTGCCTGGCTACTCTAGCAATTAGGGGTAAGCTTCGAACTGCCATTTTTGGCAATATTTTTAATTGCGTTATATAAGGAAATTTAATTGATTTTGAGATCGGAAAAAATAGTTTTTAGTATTAAGGGTTTTAATTTAGTATTAGGGGTAAGCTTCGAACTGCCATTTTTGGCAATATTTTAATTGCGTTATATAAGGAAATTTAATTGATTTTGAGATCGGACAAAATAGTTTTTAGTATTAAGGGTTTTAATTTAGTATTAGGGGTAAGCTTCGAACTGCCATTTTTGGCAATATTTTAATTGCGTTATATAAGGAAATTTAATTGATTTTGAGATCGGAAAACATAGTTTTTAGTATTAAGGGTTTTAATTTAGTATTAGGGGTAAGCTTCGAACTGCCATTTTTGGCAATATTTTAATTGCGTTATATAAGGAAATTTAATTAATTATTCTTATATTATTTATATATTTATTTTACTCTCTTTTTTTATTTTCTATTTCTCCTTATTCTCTTTTTATCTTTTATCATTCCATTTACCATTAATTAATTAATTAACATGACTTCGATTTGGTTCCCTAATATTAAATACCCCCCTAATACTAAAAACTACCTGCCGTGTTTTGTATTAGGGGGGGGGGGTTTAGTATTAGGAGGAAGGGATTATAGCGTTTCAACCATCCAAGGTGGTACAGGATTTCTTCCATCCTCATTATCTATGCTTAGATTGCTTAGACTACAGATGATTATAGTATTTAGAATGTGATAAAGCAACTAATACACCTTTGGAGGGTCTATAGTTTATACCACCCGTTTCTGGTGAATGGTTTACTATCAGGCTTACCACACCGGGTTTGACCAGGAAGACATGATCATTTGATTCTGGCAACCCAAAATCGATAGAAAAGTTAAGTTGGAAACTGTGCGGCAAAACATCAAACACATTATCTCACCTCACCTGGAAAAAACTACGCCCACCCTTTGACGCTTTTCGGCTTGGGTATACCTATAGACTCACGTTTGAGAATTGGTTGCTTACCATCTCTATTTGGGCTGATGTTGATTTCTGATACCCTCTGGTTTCACATAGCCATGGTATAGATGGCCCATAGAAATAGGTTTACCGAACTTAAAAAATGGACGATCTTTCCATGTCGCTATCTTAAATAGCCAGATGGTACTCTTTGTGTCTGTTCTTCATCATTTCCAGGTGTCAGTCCCTGGGGACCACAGCTCCCGCGCCTGTCCCCGCAGCGACACCGCATCATCGTTGGACACACCGTACAGGACAGCGAAACCCTGGCAGAGGGAGGCAAATCATCACCCAACAGTAGCACTTATAGCTGGAGCATGCTTGGTTGATGAACAGCTTTGTGTAAGTGGCTTAAAAATAGGTATATGATGCAGTGGTTCTAGTGATTATATCACCCATTTGGATACCTGGTTCATCAATGGATAAGTAATGGGTCTGCTATATACGCAGCTGAGCTGTGAAAAAACATATAAGGCTATATAACCAGTTGACTAACAGCGTGGCCCATCTAAGTATGTTGCAGCAGTGTCTATTCCATTGCTACCATCCAAAATTGCATGTTTTGCAGCTATGTCCAAGCTTTCGTGCTTCAAGTTCGAATGGTATGGCGCTTTCAGCCATCAATGTTGGCTAATCTTTGATACCCACCAAAAAGATATAGCTGGGCAGTATATACTCTGATGGCAAAAAAAAGTGTTCTACCTAACCACGGTTTACCTGAAAGTTTTAAACAAACAAAACAAACAGCAGGACAGTACCTTGACAAAATTATGGTTTGAATAAATTGAGGGCAACAGAATCCCAACTGCCCCCAAAAAAGTTTCAACACCAAACACCTCCAAGAAAAATGGTGGATAGGGGGGCAATCTGGCAGGTTTTCTCCAACAAATCCGCGTTGCAGGTATTCCAAGATTCCCAGGACTGTTTTTTGGGGTGGATTGAACACGGGCTGGACCAACAAGAAGCGAGCCGAGCAATCAATCCTGCTGAAGCAATCACCAACTGAAACTCCAAATCCGGGATCTGGGATCTAACCCAACTGATCCTTCAAGGAATCGTTGCAGGCTTGCATACTCCTGAGTATGTGTGTGAGATTTTATACCGAAACCCCACTTGCCAGACACCATCCCAGGTTCTCAAATTATTCTACTGGGATGATATCCCACTATTTGCCAGTTGAGGTTCTATCCCGCGCTGATTGTGACTGCAATGCTGGATGGTGCTGTGCAATGCTGTTCAACCCATCCAATCAACATGTTGAAATTCACCGATTTCTGTTTGTTAAATTCCCATTGTTGAAAACATTCAACGCATTTCAACGCCCGTCACATCAACACGCTGACCTCGTCCTGATGTTGCTGATGTTGGTGAAACAGTCAAATCTCCATAACATGGCTCGACTACAAAATCCCTTTCTGCAGTGGTCAACCGTTGTGATTTTGTAGAGAAAACTCCCGGTGGTATTTCAAAAAACTCTATTTCAACATTACATAACATTTATTTGTTTAGTTCTTCAAAAAAAACATGCTGACTATTTCACTGAATGCTAACACATGATTCCACTGCTAGTATTCATACTGGTTATGTTTAGTTTCCCCTCAATTGTATTGAGTGGTCTGTTGGTTATGTCCTATAGGTAACCCGTTTTCCAACTTTCCCCACCTCCTCAGGCCCTTGCAACGCGCACTTGGCGCTTGAGGCGCCCTTGCCGCGCCGCGCACCGCTGCGCCCGCGGAACCTGCCCCGCGGGGCGATGTCGGTCACGTGGAGACCTGGGGCGATGGTGGGTGAGTGACGTTGCTGGTGGCTACTCTGCAGTACTCTATGATACAATGTGAGGCCCCCAAGATAAACGATTGCGTTCAGTTGCTGAACATAACTCCCATGAAACACTATGGTTTATGATACCTAGAAAACGAACTAGTATTCATGGGGTTTATCAACCAACAAACATAACTGGGGGGGCTCACATTGCCATGGTTTGTTTTCTTTTTTGCGAGAAATTGCTTGGTCCCAAGGACCATATTAATCTGTTGTATTCTGTTATGTCTTCAACAACCAATTGGGAAAAAACATATCTGATTCACATTTTTCCTTGTTAATCGCTGAATCACATTCCCACAATTTGTATACATATGTATACAATCTAGATACATGTGGTATCACTTAGTTGGTGGGTCACCCTCTGGTACTCGAACATGGCACGCCAGGTTAACCCGAGGGGCCGAGGGGCTGTATATGGTTGAAGTAACTTGGCGACTTATGTGGTTTATGATGGATACATCATGCATATATAAGCATATAACTACACCTATATAATTCGTAGCTAGATTGGTGAAAGCAAGCCGAAGCCCACCGAAATCACTGAAGGGGGGCCAGAAAAAGCACCCTGCGCTGATTTCTTCACCGCCCAAGCTGCATTCCTGCGCTTCCAATTTCACCTCACCTCGGTGGCGAGATGCAGAAAAGCGAGATCGGTGTGCAAAACGCGACCAGGCAGCTCCGTTCAAAAGGCCATTTGTTCATTTGTTCATAAGGAAACTGATGGAAAATTCTGCTCGATAAATTGGTTTAAGCATGATATATGCCAGTATATTCCCACTATACCCCAAATAGACACCTATCAAAAGCAATGGGACAATGATGATTACCATCTGGTTATTTAACATAGCCATGGAAATCCCAATTGTTAATAGGTAAACCCAGGTAAACCATCTATTTCTATGGGCCATCTATACCATGGCTATGTTAGTCATAACCAGAGGGTAACTGATTGACCAATGGATCTATGATGATCTATGGATGCCCAACTCTTGGACAATAGTTTGCTTCTGCTGTGTGGCTTTACCGCATGATGTCCCACACACCATAAAACCAATGTTTGAAAAACATTAATTCACATGTTCTTTTAATGTGGTAAACAATCGCCTTTTAAACCATTTTAGAAAAAGAGAGTCATCATAAAATTCATGCCAGTTATCTGGGTACACTCATCTTCAGAAACCCCCGGATTGGGGATTGTTTAATCATTGGGTTTGCTTCATTACCAGTCATTACCATACTCTACAATTTTCATAGTATTTGATTTATTGCCAAATTCATCCAGATTCAGTCAGACATGTTCCTGGTTGGTGGTTTCAACCCCTCCTGAAAAATATGACTTCGTCAGTTGGGATGATGAAATCCCCAATATGATGGGAAAGTCATAATCCAGCCATGTTCCAGTCACCACCAACCAGGTTCTGGAAAATCATCAACCCAACAGGTTCAGCAATAAACCACTGATGACGCACCCATCAGACACCCATCATGGCCCACCCTGCCAGGCGGCAAAGCTCCTGGACCTCCACTTGACGACATGGTGGAGCTTCCACTGTCAGCTGCGGCGGAAGTTCAGGACGATAGGCAACGACTTCGCCTTGGTGGACGAGGACATGAAGGAAGGATCATGTGCGCATGTTATGCACCACGAAATGGGAAATAACATGAATATACAGGAACTCTGCCAACCAATGTGTGTATATATTTATATATGCATATATACAGATGTTATGATATATTATTGGGATATGTAGTTTGTATATATAATAATTGTGTCACTTTTGGGGATTTCTGGGAAATCATAAGGGATGTGACATTTGCCAAGCAATAAACGCCACTCCCAGCGTGAAGGCCATGGTCACGTTGATCCAGGCTTCAGCCCATGAGGGCCAAGCTGAGAATTTTATGGGGATTGGCCCGCCAAATCGCGGCCGGGCACTGTTCAGAAAATGGAAACATATATAACATACATGCATTAAATCAAGCAAACCAATCAGAGGAGCAAACATCTTCTATTCAGTGCTGCAATATGTTTTTCGTTGATATTACCACATGGTAGAAAAAACAATCCAAGTTCAGTGTTTGAATTTCGGTCCTGTTTCGGGTTCTTTGCTTCGTGTTTCAGGGTGATGGTGATCCCGACCAGCCCAGCAACCGAGCGACAAACAACCAGCAGCACTGACCATTTCATGGCCAGTGCCACTTCTTGACCCAATCGCCATGGGGAGAAGCAGCGTGTCAATCAGCATGTGAGAGCCTGAAATATTCATCGCATCTCATTTCTTTCGTATCTGTTTGAAGTTCGAAGAATTGTTATCCAAACAAACTCTTAAATCTGACATGAAGTTTTTTTCTGACGCTTGCTATCAATAGACTTGCTTTGAACATCTGATCCTTTATTGCTCCATTTTTGGTCAACCGAAACCCCACCGTTCTCGCCACTGGCCGGTCTCACCCCTGGACACGGAAAGCGTCCACAGAGGTCTTGGAGCGGCGAAGACGGGTAGGCGATCTCTGGCCACGTAAATTTAGAAAAAAACCCATCACTGCTCATCACCTTAAAATTGGATGCAGGTGACTCAAGAGCTTGATATGACAAGCCTTTTAAACGGTGAAACAGCACAAAGAAAAAACTGATCCTTTCCAGGTGCGCTATCAGGCCTCCACTTGCTGGGCTGATGGTGAAATATGGTGAAATTGCCACCCCTTAGATTGGAAATGATTGGAAAAAACACCATGATGCAGGTGACAGAGGACAAAACTCAGAATTATATAGAATTGAGTTTTGTGTTGTTGCTAATGTATGCTAATGCCCCCATGTTGCTCCCTCTATCATCCAGTCTTGGTAAAACAAATCCTTGTTGCAACAGCTGTACAAAAACCTGCCACTTGAACAGCTGTCAGAGAAAAGATCAACCGTTTCTGACAGCTTGGGTACTTTCAATTTCCTATATATACGCCTGTCCGATCACAACAGGAACAGTATATATATATAGATGAGGGTTCCCGGACACCCCCAAACCCCCCCCCTCCCCCCCCAATGGTATCCCCCCCCCACTCCTAACCCCCCCCACCCCCCCAAAACCTAGTATTTGCATGTTATTTGCACATATACATACACATATACACATATATACTCCCCTTTCCACCCCTCCAACCTCGCATCTCTACGTTATTTGCAGCACTTGAGAGCCACGACCTCGTCAACGGACCTTGTCTACCTGTATATTTCTATCATAACCTTTTTTTCGAACCGCCTATAGCGTGCCTCGCACATGGTTTACAACATATTTGCTACCTATGGATTACGCAAAGCTTACCTATGCAAACCTAGACATATGTACAGTAGAAAAACAATAAATACATATATATATATGCACATTCTAGATACTACAGATTGATATCTTGATCTTGTATCTATCACATATTTCGTTTACATTGTACATACTGTACACGTATATATATATATATATGTATATATATATGCATATATATATATACATAAACTCTAGATATACAGCGTGTATTGCTGTCGATATTCAATATACCACATATACTATGTAAAATTTATTCAACGAACATATTTAACCTATATTGTATATATTACATCTACTGTGGATACAGTACATGTGGCATATACTATCTATATTCTATCAAAAACCACATATACGATGTATATATATATATATATATGTTCAATATATATATGTCAAATATATATATATTATAAAGATATATAGATTGCATATATTCTATTTATATCTTACATATTATATATATATGTTTATATATATACACTACACATACACTCTATATTGCATATAGTATATCCATTCTAATTATCGATACATATACATTACATGCACTATAAAGACTACATACACCATGGCTTGGCTGCTGAGAAAACCCCCCCTCCCCTGCCACAGGGGGGGGGGAACCATCTGGCTGGGTGGGGGGGGGTGTGGGGGTCCCTGCTCATATATATATATATATATGGAGTTTAAAAAAATGCTCGTGAAACGTCAATAGATATATATCCATAGATTTAGCGAAAGATCCTTTGTTTCATCAAATATCATTTGATCAAAAACGTCTGAGTATGAAATGGGGAATCATCTACATGATGGGCCCCCCCAGTTATCAGTTGGTTTATAAACCATTATAAGCCCCATGAATACTAGCTCGTGAAATATCTACCATAAACCATAGTTAATTCAGCCACTTTTATTAGGCAACTGAACGCTATCGACTGGGGGCCCCATCCTGTACAAACGTTGTTTTCCACAGATCAAACGCGGATTTCTCCGCCTCATCTCCAGACGGACGCTTGCGCGACCTCCCAGGGGTCCCAGATCGGTCCCAGGGGTCCCAGATCGAGCGGTGTCAAGAAGAAGTTAAGCTCAACTGGTTGGTGGTTTCAATAGAGAATACCTGGTTAATGGAGAAATACCTAGTTAATAATAGTGAATAATTGAAATATCTGGTGAATTCTTGGTGAATTATCATAATTGGTTAATCATTGAAATCTCTGGTTAATGGTGAATCATGGTGAACCATTGATCATAACCAACCAGTGAAACAATCGCCCCTTGGGAGCCCCACCTGTCGAGACACAAGACTTCCAGAGGCTTAGCACTTGCACCGTGATTGGTCTAACTCGGGAAAACAACAAATATGCATATAATATATATATATATATATTAAATAATACACTATGAATTATATATACAATATCGATATTGAAAAAATCATCAACATATTAGATGGGATTAGATTGAGATCAAACGATATATGGAAGAGGGCACACAAACTGAGATTTTGCTAAGATCAAGTTGGATGTCACTTCTTTCAAACCTGTTTGAATAAGCCAACACAGATGGAGTTTCGTCCAACATCATCAACCCTATTTTGAGTCCTCGATGATGATGGCTCCGAAACATTGAATACATTGAATACTTGAATGCGGGACAAAATCGCTGCGTCTCTGGGTCTACATCTGATGCAAAACCAAGGTAGACATGTGGTATCTTGTTTCACTAGTAATATGTTAAAATCAGTTTATGAATTGCAAAAATTATTTTAAAGATACATAATGGCCATTTTCAATAGCTATGTTTGTTTGCCAAAGGGTACATTTAAACGTCTGGAACCACAACCAGAAATTCCTGCCCATGCATGATGCATGCAAATGCTAACGCCCAAGATCCTGGAAGTTAGGATGGTAACTGAGGCTGATATGCCATGAAGGCCCAGGTCGTTATTAGTGGTCTGCCATGGTCTGCCCCTAATAATTCAGCATCAATCCAAGCTTGAATCCAAACTTTTCGTGGTGAAGTTGCCATAGTTTCGGGGGAGTCATCACCCATTCATTGTGAAAGATTGACATATCCCAGTTTTGATGGCGAATTTCAAGTTTCGATTGGTTAAATCATGTCACCTCACTGATGTTGCTCAAATGCCAATGTCTCTTGGTTAGATCCACAATTTTCGGTGGTTTATGATCCTGGTTGGTGGTTTCAACCCCTCTGAAAAATATGAAAGTCAGTTGGGATGATTATCCCATATATGATGGAAAATGACATCCATGTTTGGAACCACCGACCAGGATCCCAAATCTGTTGCTGGCGAAGTCGTCACCCGTCACCGGTCACTGTCGGTCACTGTCGCCTCGACGACCCAGCGATCCACGTCGCTGCAGGACGCAGCAAATCTCCCATCTGCGGATGGAATTATCTGGGCTACAAAGTGGTTGATGTTTCTTGTATAGTACCCCCAAAGCAGAAAATTGGTTCAAATTGTCCACGATCTTAAGGCAGGATTCTATGTTTCTATTTTTTTTGGGGGTTGCTAATATAGTTTATGAATTTTATGATATTTTATGTATACCATTTACAGTATAATTGTTGGCAGATATTATTGCAATTGATTACAAATTTATCTCGGGTGCAAACTCAACTTGGTTGATTGTAGTTTCCGGACGATCAAATGACAATGATGATGGGGGTTTATAGTTCTTGTCATCATCATCATCATGATAATAATAATAATAATCATCATCATCAGATGTTACCCATCAAAACAACCTGCATCCCTTGATTTAGTTTAATATACCCCAACCTTTGCTCGAGAACGGATCCAATCCGGCAGCGTCATGTTGGATGTTCAACGCGTCAACTAAGTGCGATTATAACTACAGTTTTACTATAGTAGTGTTTATATTTTTTCGACATTCAACTATGTTGGATGATATGACTAGTATATATTTATATATATATATAGCTTTACTATGGCTTGGTTAGATGGTTTTCTATGGGTTTACTATATGGGTTGTACGATATTTTTTCGAAGTCACCCCATCGAAAAGCTGGTCGGATGGGACCATCCGCAGAGGATGGGTCCTGTTCAAAATGCTGGAGAGCTATCTGTTTCATACACCAATGTTGAACCAGATTTTTTGAGTTGTCCTTTCCAAACAGGGAAATATTATATATATATATATATTATATAGACATATATATATATACACATTGATCTACTATAAATGGTTGGTTAATAATGGTTCTACTATAAATATCTATAAATGGTTAATTACCCATATATATATATACAATGTGAGGCCCCCAAGATAGCTAAGTTGGTTTATAACTCCAATAACTTTGGTTTATGGTACTTATAACTATAGTTACTGGGGCTTATAAACCAACTTATAACTGGGGGGCCTCACATTGTACACATCTGGTGACCCCAGGAAGTCAACCGCATGTTTCTTTTTCAACCGATCGTCGCCAGTTTTGAAGCAGCGATCCAGCGATTGAGGAGCGCCGGATTTCGCCGCTGGAATCATTGTGATGAACCTGAAAGAAGTGGGGAGTTGGGGAGTTGGGTCCGTATTTTCCTGGGTCCTTATTGATGTTTTTCCAGGAAAAGTAGATGGTTTTTTGGTGGGTATCATCCCGTTAAGCCCGAAACCCCAATGGAGGTGGAGTGGATCAGGATCTGGATCTTTGGGGCCATAATGGCCATATGATGCGGGCATCTATCATTGGGATAGGCTGATGATGATGATGATGAGGACTTGGGAGGTTTAAAATGTGTGTGCTCATGTTCGGTACCAGAAAAGATAGCTGTGTATAGCTATACTACACACTACAGGTAGGGCAATGGGTCTGAACATGAAACCATAAAGACCCATAAAGCACCACAGGACCAACTGCAGCATGGATGCTATTAAACGAGTTAGATTTGGAGGCGGCAGCAACGCAAAGTCGGAACTGTTTTGGGAAACCATCAAAAGCATGCAAAAAATTACTTTACTTCGAGTGATCACCACCATGACATTTATTGATTTGTTACTGGCAAATCTTCTGGCATTCTATCTGACAAATAAATCTTCTGGCATATCTTCTGGCATATATTCTGGTATATCTTCTGTGATGTCTTCTGGCATTCTATCTGGCATATCTTCTGGCAGATGTTCTGGCATATCTTCTGGCATTCTATCTGGCATATCTTCTGGCATATTATCTGGCAAATCTTCTGGGCTTCTATCTAGCATATCTTGTGGCAGTCTATCTGATATTTTATCTGGCATTCTATGTGGCATACCTTCTCGCATTCTATCTGGCATATCTTCTGGCATTCTATCTGGTATATCTTCTGGCATTCTATCTGGCATATCTTCTGACATTCTTTCTGGCATATCTTCGGACATTCTGTCTGGCATATCTTCTCACATTCTTCCCGTTGAGGTCCGGCAGTGCCCACTGCGATCTGGAAGTCGCGGTTAAGCTCCGGCAGTGCCCACTGCGATCTGGAAGTCGCGGTTGAAGTCCGGCAGTGCCCACTGCGACCTGGAAGTCGCGGTTGAGGTCCGGCAGTGCCCACTGCTATCTGCAACTCGCGGTTGAGGTCCGGCAGTGCCCGCTGGGGATCTGGAGCTCGCGGTGGAGGTCCGGCAGTGCCCACTGGGGATCTGGACTGCGAGGAGGAGGCGGCGGGTGAGGAGGCCGAGGAGGAGGCGGAGGAGGAGGAGGAGGAGAACAGCTCTGATAAAATCTAACAACCCTCACCTGGCAGGTGGGGAAAAAACACGAGCGGAACTTGCTGTTGTTTAAAACTAACATAGTTCAATGATTTGCCGCCCCTATGAAAGGTTCAAACATCGCAGCTGCTGGATATCACCCACCGACTTTGAAGCAACTTAGGCTCTAAAACCTTTTCCATCATTTCCATCTAGTATGAAAACGGACAACATAGTTCAAACGTTCAAACCATTCCTAGCTGCTGTGAACAGGTACACTGTACACCAATCCAACGACAATGGCCCCATTGGCCACATACTACTGATGTGTTTTGTATTGTTGGCCATCCATACAGTTTTACACACATTAATCTGGATATTACACATGTACAATATAGTTATATAGTTATATAGTTATATATATATAGCTATTATAGGTATACATGTAGTTTCAACATGTTTCAATACATTCATTCATATAGAAGTAGGATACATCAATTCAGTGACTCAGACGTATCACTACTCTGGTTGGTGGTTTCAACCCCTATGAAAAATATGAAAGTCAGTTGGGATGATGAAATTCACAATCTATGGAAAGTCATAATCCAGCCATGTTCCAAACCACCAACCAGTACTGGTATACAAGTCCAAGTCATCTCCGACGTCCAAGCAACGTGGCGCCAGCCCTACAGGGTGCGTTTCAGCAGGGCGAAGCTGTTTCCATTGCCCACCACGTCCACCACACCACCTAAGGGACACCGGGAGAGGGCCTAGGGGGTGGAGACCAGAGGTTACTTTCATAGCACCATGGTATAACCATGGTGAACTGGTTGGTGGTTGACCTACCCCTCTGAAAAATATTAGTCAGTGAACTAAACCCCCATGTTGGCATATGGTGATTATATCGGGCCCCTAGAACTATCGTGAAAAATAGATCCACTACCTCGAAGCGTCCGGTTTTTTTGGTGTCCTGGGATGCTGGGAGATGAGGGCGAAAACCATGGTGAAACCACGACATCATTCGGCATATTCGGCACTCAAATCAAGGAGGGTATACCCAAGAAGCCATGGAGGTTCCCAACCGACAAAAAATAAGAAACCCAGGATTCTGGAAATGAGAACTGAAAACACAAACTGGTTGGTGGTTGACCTACCCCTCTGAAAAATGTTAGTCAATTGGTCAATTGAGGTTACTATCCCAATATATGGAAAAACAAAAAATGTTCCAAACCACCAACCAACTTCACACTCACAAAAAGAACGGATTTGACAAACGAAGATGTCGATATGACCAACGGTAGGAATATGAACCATGTCCACCATGGTTGACCGCAATAGCCGCAGTTTCATTATGTGATGGTTGTAGGTGGGGATCAATATAGCCTTCACCAATTTCTGCATTAGGAATATATATATATATATGTATATTTATTTATTTATTTGGTATTAGGAATCAGCAGTACACATTTCACCAAGAGTAGGCATATTAGGAACATACTTGGAATCATGACAATTTCTGATGGTTTTTACGTATTTTCACATGTTTTCACTGGTGTCATCCATGGCCAAAACCTCACATCAACTACTTCGGGGGCTCGCCAGTTTTCCCACAATAAGGCTCTGCTGCGATTATCCGGTATCCATGGTTCCTGGGTCATAAATACCCCGATATACAAAAGAAATGCAGAAGATGTGATCAAGTTCCAAAGCGCTTGTCTTTGGTATTCTTGTGGAAGTAAGAAATCCAGAAGATATCATCGAAGTCAATTTTCCCTCAGTGAATAGATTGGTATTTTTTGGTCACCGAGCGACTTCGAAACTCGTCCTCAATGATGTGATCTGGTGGATTTGCAATAGTACCAATTGGTACCACCTCGCCGGTCTTCTTGATGGCAAACATACCTGGCTGCTTGGAGGCTCCCCACTGTACATCGTGTACCCATCCCCAGAGTCATTCCACTGTATAGTATCGTACCTATAGTATCGTATCGTTTTTAACAATGACTTGAATATAGTCAACTATAGTGGTGTAGCAAGCAGTAAATCACTATCGTATATCAAATTATCACTATCTGTTTAAATCACGCTGACTTACGAGGACCCCTACCATCAGAGCTCTTTTGTGTTTAGCTGGACGGTCCAAGGCCATGACGTATGTTTTTCCCACCTGCCAGGTGAGGGTTGTTAGATTTTATCAGAGCTGTTCTCCTCCTCCTCCTCCTCCGCCTCCTCCGCCTCCTCTGCCTCCTCCGCCTCCTCACCCGCCGCCTCCTCCTCGCAGTCCAGATCCCAGTGGGCACAGCCGGACCTCCACCGCGAGCTCCAGATCCCAGTGGGCACTGCCGGACCTCAACCGCGAGTTGCAGATCGCAGTGGGCACTGCCGGACCTCAACCGCTGATCGCAGTGGGCACTGCCGGACCTCAACCGCGACTTCCAGGTCGCAGTGGGCACTGCCGGACCTCAACCGCGACTTCCAGATCGCAGTGGGCACTGCCGGACCTCAACCGCGACTTCCAGATCGCAGTGGGCACTGCCGGACCTCAACCGCGACTTCCAGATCGCAGTGGGCACTGCCGGACCTCAACGGGAAGAATGTCAGAAAAGATGTCAGATAGAATGTCAGAAGATATGCCAGATAGAATGCCAGAAAGAATTCAGAAAGAATATCAGCAGATATGCCAGACAGAATGTCCGAAGATATGCCAGAAAGAATGTCAGAAGATATGCCAGATAGAATGTCAGATGATATGCCAGATAATATGCCAGAAGATATGCCAGATAGAATGCCAGATAGAATGCCAGAAGATTTGCCAGAAAATATGCCAGAAGATATGCTAGATAGAAGCCCAGAAGATTTGCCAGATAATATGTCAGAAGATATGTCAGATAGAATGCCAGAAGTTTTGCCAGTAAGAAAATGTATAAATGTCATGGTGGGGTTTACACGAAGTAAAGTATTTTTTCCGCCAGGTCCGCCAAGCATATCTGTTTGGTGGTTGACCTACCCCTCTGAAACATATGAAAGTCAAATGGGATGATGAAATTCCCAACTGAATGGAAAGTCATAATCCAGCCATGTTCCGTCACCACCAACCAGGTATGTGATTACACAGGGTGGGATCATCCCTCGAGTAAAGCTAACATAAGTTAAGCTTTCCTTCACTGGGGCGGGTATAGTTCAAGAGTGGGGTAGCGATGGACCACACACGCTCAGGCATGTGGCGAGTCATTGAAAGCTGTTGTCTATGGAATGGCATTCCCAAAACATCCTGTATCAATATCGGTTCACTCCCTATTTTCCTCATAGCACTGGACTACTGGACCCACAAAATGCACGGAATTCTGATCCACATCCCACATCAAATCACCCGAGGTTTTTCCCCGTTGACCCCCACTTCGCTGCCGCCCCAGCTACCCCAGACGTTTTCCGTGGGCATATTGGGCACGGAGACCACGTCGGTCAACTGATCCTCCACTTTGTCCAACAAAAAGCCGTTGCCGAAGTCAGCGATCACACCCCAGGGCACTACCCGACCTGGGGGCCACCCTCGGGTCCGAGCGTTTGTGGCATATCTCGACCCATACCCATAGAAAAAACAAGAAGCCCTGGGAATTAGTCCCCCATACACAAGACCCATATGACACCACCATACCGCTACATGCTAAAAATAGGCATGCCGCCACTGCATCCCATGGTGTATCATAATATGTTCCACTCAAGTTACAATAAATGCGTGCAAAACACACATCCATACCGTGGGCTATACAAGGACGTGATTTTGTCCATCAAAAAAAGCTTTCGGAGCACTTGCGAAAAACAAAATCACAATTGCTGTTGCTAGACAAAGCACCCATTCATTTAGTGAAGACACTTGGAAATTTATGGGTTGGAAACCATATTTGCATACATTGTGGGCTGACACACTTCTCAGTTTAGGGGAGAGGGTATGTTTGTTCATTTGAGGTCGGCATCGTCCTATTACTTGATATCCCGATTCAATGGTTGGACAAATGTTGGCCAATTATATCCGCCATTTGTGCTGGTTAAATCCACTCCTTGAACATCCGGTACCATGAATCACGGAATTATTGGCCCCTATCCCATGGTGTATCATCGTTTGCATTCGTGCCATATTACACATGAAAATTGACATATCACCGTGTAAATCCCAAAAAACATCACATCTGCATTCCCTACAAAAATCTTGCCGTTTTTGGTGTGACAAATCCACAATTTGTCCATAGTCGATCTTTGATAGCCCACAAAAAAATAATAATAAAAAAAAATAATAATGATAATAATAATAATATGTTGCTGACTATGTTTTTTCCCACTTGGGATTCACCATATTCACCAATAATATCACCATTTTCACCATGTTCACCATTTCTTAACCACTATTAACCATAGATTAACCATATCTTAGCATATCTTAGCCATATCTTAGCCACTATTAGCCACAGATTCACCATAGATTCGTGTTGGGGATGATCCTGCTCTCGTTCCAAGCGCTCCACCCTCCACCGTGGCCGTGGCACCATCCTCCTTGAGGGCGGCGAAGGTCGTGGTGGCTGCGGAGATGGATTTGATGGGCGCACCCTCCGACAGCTTCCGTTTCCTCAATGAGTCGAGTCGAAACGCTGCCAAGGTGAAATTCATCTGTGAAGCCATGAAGTACTTCGATGGATCTACCGGAAAGCCTAGGTCATGGAGGTATAAACCAAGATTGCCAAGTAAAGAAATAAAAAAAATGGAATTTAACAGGCAGAAAGGATGAATTCTCGGGAATACAATAATGAGATATATCAGAAAAAGATATTGGGCATATATCATTGGGTGAAACATGGGGAAATATGGAAGGTATAAACCCAATTATTTGTATAGGGATAAGGATGTGATAGATATCATGGGGATGAATGTAGCTCCTTGGCTCCCATTTTCCCTGAGGTTGGAGGTGGTGTGACCGCCATCTGCTTAGGTTTCACGGGATTCCACGTTGATTGTGACAATGCCCAACAAATTTCTCAGTATGCCCAAACTAATCTTCAACCATCATTCATCATTCATCAGTGACTTACCCTCTGGTAAATTAACATAGACCCTGAAAATCACCAATTTTTAGTGTAAACGAATCTTCCAAACCCGATGACTGCCAGGGTCGAACTGTTAATGTACCAGTGACTTATATCCCATCTTCGGCTGGATATTTATCAATTGACGAACGAGTCATCAACTACCCTCTGGTAATTTAACATAGCTATTGAAAATGGCTATTTATAGTGGATTTTCCCATAAAAAATGGTGATTTTCCATAGCTACGTTAAATTACCAGAGGGTAACCCAGCTTTAGCCGATTTTGCCAAGTGGCACATCCTCTTTCAAGTGTGCTCCATCCTGAGGCTGCAGTGATAGCCTGCTACCATGGCTAGGAAACATATGATATATCATAGCCCCAAAAAACAATGGTTTTTAGTGATGATATTCTATAGCAACCAAGGGAATATAGGGTTGCTATACCAACTTCTTGTGAGGATTTGACTTTCTATATCAGGTCATGAATCATGAAGGTCTGTGTGTTCAAACAAGCCATCAATTTTTGTAACCTCAATGGAGGTCAAATGAATATCTACAGGTACAGGATACTAAGAGTTACTTTGGTTTGACATAAAACAAATAGATGGTTCTTGCATTTTTTCCCTTGAACCAATCCACAATCCTTGACTACTAGTTAAATCAAACCAAGTTTCTGGTCAGATCTAGTTAATACAACAGACCCAAATATAGCTATTGTTGAAATCCCATGAAATACCATGATACATATATATATATGTATACATTCATTATACAATCATATCTCAACTATATCCGCATTCAATCCCCATCAAATCCCCATCAAATCCCCATTATATCCGCATTACAGTATATCGCCAGTTGAACTGGATCCACTAAAAATTATTATTGTGGAAATAAAAGAAACATATCCTGGTTGGTGGTTTTAACCATCTTGAAAAATATTAGTCAATGGGAAGGATTATCCCATGATTATGGACAAATAAAAAATGTTCCAAACCACCAACCAGTATGGGCTTGTCTGAGAATAGTGGACCCGATCTTCCAATGGATTATCATGCCTCATGTTGCCCATGAAAAAAAACTATTTGTGGGTATCTCGACTATTTTCAAACAAACCCATGAACAGTATCCTGATGTGATGTTGTGTGCATTTGCAAAAATGGGCATGCATGATATAAATTATATACTTTCAGGATATGAGTGATCACATTCCGATTCCCATCATATCCCCATTACAAGCCCAGTATATTCCCATTTTTCCATTCGTGAATGATTCATCACGCCAGAAATCAACTCTGCCGCGCCACGGGTGCGCAGCCCCAAGCGACCACTTCGCCGGTATCCTGGAGAGTTGTTCCGCTTCCCCATGTTTAATCCCATGGATGGTATTTTGGGATGTTCCAAGAGTTGAACATGATCATGGAAAAAACCAAGAAAACTGAGAGGGATACTCATGTTTGACCAATGATAGTCTAGGAAAATCAGGAATGATGGGGTTGTAAATGATCTAAACGGATATGTTTGTGGCACCAAACAGCATGAACAGAATAAAACAACTCAACTATATAACTATCCACAATCTGGCCAGTACCTGGGCTACCACATGAAAGAAATATGAAAGTCCAGGGGGAAAAAGCATCCCCGCTAATGCTTATCGTGAACCAGACGGTAAAACCCATGGTAAAACCCCTTTCAGCCGTTCTCACAAAATGACTGGGGAAGACCGCTGGACCATGTCAATTTCTGTTTCTGTGGTTGACCTACCCCCCTGAAAAATCATGGACAACTTGTCAGTTGGGATGATGAAATTCCCAATATATATATATGGAAAGTCATAATCCAGCCATGTTCCAGTCACCACCAACCAGATTTCTTGTGCCAACCAGCGGTTTTTTGGAGGGAAAATCATCGATGGATTTTGGTGGATTCCTCCAGCAAACGATGTTTGATTTCTACTAAGTGCCTGCCATGGAACACAGAGTATCCTGCCATGAAAGAAACGGGCCAGGAAAACGGCGTTCTGTATTTCATTATCTATTTCACCTAACTTCAAAGTCATTGTAGCTTGGATAAATATAAAACAGCATTCACGGCACCCATTGGATCCCATTAAAGAAACACTAGGTGAACGGCTGACCCTGTCTGACCCAGGTTTATCAGTGCGTCATCAACGCCATGCGGGGGGAGATACAGCCAAGTAACGTCAACCTTGACTGAGTGATCTTGGGGTGGGTCCCTATAAATGGTACAGTACTCCCAATGTGAGTAAAGTACTGGTTTGACAATATGGGAAGAAAATGATATGGTGTCTAATTATGGTGTCTAACAATTGGCCATGTGAAGCAAAACGTTCGTAATCAAAGGGTGCAAACTATGGACAAATCGATCATCATAGTTTATCATATCTATTCATAATGTTGGTGTATCTATTCCAGTACTTAATTACTGTGGCAGTTTACTGCAACTAGTATCAACCTAAACATGACCAGCAAAACGCATCATTGAAACTATTTGATGTAAACTAAATGAAGTGAACGTAATTTTGTACCACTTCGAAGTGCCCTAAAAACATCGGACCTTCAGTGCCGCAAAGACGTTGTCGGAGCCGACCACCGCAAGCACTCCGCTGGACAAACGATCCTGTGGAGCGAGCCACCACGGGGGGGTTATTTTTAGTGGTCGAAATTGAAGACCCTACCACAGATGACTTGGTCGATTTTTAAGTTAGTAACTTAGTATAAAAGCATCCAATTATTGGGGTGCCTAATTTTGATCCATACCCATATGTTTTTATGTTCTTGATGTTTTAAATGGGGTCTTGACTTTATAACTGTTGCAACTATTCGTGCTCTCTTTGATGTCTTTTAGGCGCTGGAAAACATAGGAAAAACACATGAGAAGTTGCACTTTGCTATCCACATTTCTGATACAAACTGTTGCAAATGCATGCAGATAAGAGGTTTTGAAATAATGCTGCAAGAAGCAAAATAATGGAAGGTTCAAGCTCCAACACACCGCGAATACCACGCAACTGGGGGGCTCCACCTCCAACATGTTCCAAACACATTGATTTCCACCACTCCAAAAGGTTTCTCTGGGGATTCATATTAGACCACATGAGCGTTTGCAGCGACGGGCGAACCAGGCGGCCTGAGGGTATTTATATATATATATATTAATATATGATAATGGATATATTTATATACATGTTTAAATTAAGTATAGTAGTGAACAAACAGAGCGTAGCCAGCCACTTTATGTAGCAAACATTTCATGAACATTGGGATAGCCCCCACAAAGCATCAGAAGTTGAAAAGAGTGTAAACACCAAAACCTGGGCAAACAATCTATTGGTAGCATCACCACCCTACCAACCAAACAATGGCAATTACGGTTGGTTATGGTTGGTTACGGGAATTCAGCAGTCATAGCCCTGTTCACATATTTGATGCAGATCACTTGAACTACGAATGTTCAGTCGATGGGACCTGGCAAGAAAGAGCTTCAATCATGGCTGAAGACTGCCTGATTTTTCTCTTGGATTTAAAAGAACAACCAATTGAAAGTAGGTTGATACGAATTTAAGATCCGTACCTTTTACAAGTGCAATGCTGATTCATTTTTTTGGTTTGAGATACCCTCTGTATTGTTGGGGGGGTGCTACACTAATCAAGATCCAACATTATTTTTGATTATCTAGTTATGTTGGTGGAACCAACCAACGGTTCATGGCCAAACAGCATTTCCTTTATTACACAGTGCACCACAAATGACCCATGCAATTCATGATTCCACCCTTTGTAACTCATACAAGTCATCTAGTTCGCATTGTTCCCTTCCAAAACCGCAAGTATCCCCTAAAATAGCCTAAGTTACCATCAATATGATTCTGCTTCTTTTTTTGGTTTTTGAAGGGTGGGCAGTTTTGAACTGTTAGTGGGGGGAGGCAAATCCCAATATATAAATATAGATATATGATATATGTCAGAATATGATAGAATATGATTACCTCATGTATTGTGCCCCCCGACATTTACAGATTTCCTCTACCCGTGGTCCTCCACGGAGTATGTCTCGCCGTGGTCCTCCGATTCGCCGTCTTCGTGACAGCCATCATCACCTTGGGATGGGGATCTCTGAGCCTGAAAAGCCCCCGATGGGGATCTAACCCAGCCAGTGATGGTGATTTACCCTCTGGTGAACTAACATAGCAATGGAAAATCACCATTCTTAATGGGAAAATCCACTATTTCTATGGCCATTTTCCATTGCTATGTTAGTTCACCAGAGGGTAACCAACACACCCCGGTGATTTTTTCGGGATCTTGTTGCTATGGGGCTAGCTTATCATATCCTAAACCATCCGCAATGTTAAAAGTTTGCATATTTACGTGATCAATAACTACCCAAATCACCTACTGATACATAGATACCCAAGTCACCCATTCATGTCGGTACACGTGGTCATGGATTAAATGATACCCATAGGGATCCATGTATGGTATATATGCTAACATTGGGGGTATATTGATGGTAAATGTTACCATATATAGCATACATGGATCCTATGGGATATGAGATGGGAATGCATTAAATCTGTGTTTTGTCATATAGTAGCGTGGTTTCGTCTCAAAACCAGGGTACCCCCAAATCCAACGACTCATCATTTTCTCTATGTACATTGGCGTTTGGGGTTCCACATGCCGTCCACATCTACCGTCTATGAGGGAACGACCCACCTGTCCATTAGGCAACCTGTGCAGCACCCAATTTATGTGTATATGTATATGTAATTATATGTACACATCTATGATTATATGTATGCTAGCCCCCAAAATATGTAGTTTTATAGTTTCCAAGAATACAAAAGCTGCACCTTGCAGGATCAACGTTACCATGTGGGTAGTTTTAACTGGAATCCTAGGCTTCAAACTGGGTCCTGAAATTGAGCAACGTGCTTCCGGTTTGCAATGTGTCAAGGTCTACAATTTGTCACCGTACACTAAACCCAACCTGAAAATTGAAACACAATTTTACGTACAAGCCACCAACTACTCACCCTATCACCCACTCAACCCTCTTCAACGCAGGGGTCCCTAGTTGTAAGCTTTTGTTTCGATATGTCTCCGCCATACAAATCTAGTACCGCACTCTTTTTTTGGCCCCCCTGTTCTGATGTTTTTGCCATCCTAGCTGTCATAACTTAGACAAATCAGCTTTGTTCATGGCAAGGAAAAAACATGTCTGATCATGTTTGCAAGTTTTTGCTGCTTCATTTTCCGTTCAAGTTTGTTCATGATTTCCCCATTTCCCCAATGCCCATGAGTCCATGGGACAAAAAAAACAATGGAATTTGTGGATGTACCGTCATTTTCCCATGATTTTCCCATGTTTTGATGGCCCCCATGTTTGCCCAGTTGCTACATTCCTCCTCATCCGTTGGAGGACCCCAGGTCACTTCCATTCTTCCGCCCCTGGCGGCCCCAGGCCCCAGGATCCGTTGCCGCGGATGATGGGATACGATCTGATAAAAAAACTGGAACATCACTGGTTATATCTGGTTATATCACTATTAACTAGTTATAATTGGGAACTTACAAGTTATAACCAGTTATTAACTGGATATATCTGATTACAGCTGGTTGTAACTGCATATTTCATGGGATATGGTATCAATATTTCACCAGATCATTGATACATACTGTGTATAAATACTGATGAGTGATTTCAAACAATGTTCGTGATTGGGGATCATCATGCCAAATGTCTGAAATCTGCCATCAACCAGAGAAAAACCAAGGATTATGGCATGTCTCCTCGCCAGTTTGCCCTTCGTAGCGTCGCCACATCCGACGTGGCAGTGCTCATCGGCAGACGGCAAGGCTAGATTTGCCCTTTGTTCTTTTCATGGCGCCATCACTGAGAGCTGTGGCATTGAAAAAGAATTCGTGTTTTCCGCTTCGTCTTACCCTGCTCTGTGCTGGCCTACGCCTGCTTGAGACTCATTCGAGTCTCTGGGCTGCGGCTAGTGGGGCTTCTCGACCGGCTGGACATTGCTGACACCTACACTGTATGATGGTGTAGTGGTGCTGCACAGCTAAGTCACCAGATTTGGCATTGCCTGGGTTGATCAGCTGGATCTACTTGAACTCACAGAAAGTTCACGTTTCAGCTCCCGCAATGGTACCATATAATTTATCTAGTGCATCGCAAATACCATAGTAAATCTTATCAAACATCCGTAGTCCTGACTCATATTTTGTGGGTTGAATTCTAATGCTGACTCCTCAAAGTCCGATAAATTTGCCAATGTTTGTTATTGTTCGTCGTCAAAACATGATCATTCCCAGGGACTGTCTCAGATAACCTGCAGAGAACAGGTGATTTCCAGTTTGGTATTTTTACTGATGTTGTACTGGTTGGTTGTTTCAAACCCTCTTAAAAAGATTAGTCAAATGGGATTATTATTCCCAGTATATGGGAAAATAAAAAATGGTCCAAACCACCAACCAGTGTGTTTGCCAATGTATGGCAAACATCTGACTCATATCAGTAGACTGCACATGTCACCAAAACAACTACACATGCCCATTTGTGGATGGTTAAGTCTAGAATGCTGGGCGGTAACTCACCCTTGATGGTCTATCCGACCATCATACTTATCTCGGACAATCTTGGATTCCTCTGAAAACATACATAGATGGTTAGCTGATTTTATCCACATTTTGCTTGGGCATTAATTTACAGTAAAACACGAAGCAACCATGTTCATTGCCCACTTATAGTCGCTATCCACTTCTGGCTGGAGGTTGCCTAAACATTGGAGATACCAACAAATTAGCATTTTAACACGGAAACTGACAGAACACAATCAACCGTTGAATATCTAAGTGGTACCATCCCATTACTTTGTTTTTCCCCGTTTTCTTGGTTGAATCACGATTTTCCTTGGCAAAATCACACGTGTCCACCATGTGTGTTAGTTCAATCAGCATTTTCCAGAAGTTTTTCATGGGAAAAATCCTCCGTTCTGCTGGTTAGATCTTCATGTTCCACCTTTTCAGTTTATTTTTTGTGAGTTAATCATGTTCAATCCCCATCTCTGATGGTTAGATTCCAGTTTTCCACCCATTTTTTCGCAGCTTCGCGCCGAGGCACTTCTCGGCATCGCCCCAGGTGACCACAGCGCCGGTGTCCTTCAGGGCAGCAAAGGCGGATGCCGTACCTCGGAGCGAAGGGAGAATTGGAGCGCACATGAATGGTTATTTGATGGTTATTAATATCTATATGAATGGTTCTTAATATTTATCCTCAGGGTGAAACATCAATGGTTATTCATGGTTATTCCATGGAAAATGGATGAAAATGGCCCATTAAAACCTCCATTTATGGTCCCGTCCTCCGTCTCTCCACCCCCCCCCCCATGGGTTGGGTCCCCAGGTAGTAGCCCCAATTCCCTTCTATTTGCAAGCTATTGGCAGCATTTCTGAGGTCCAGCGTCGTATTTGCTAGGTCTTTGCAGCATTTCTGACTACCAGCCTCGCATTTACTAGGTACATGCTACCTTTTAGGCGACCTACGTAGCACACATACTCCTTCAAAGTACCTACGTGCTACCTATAGTCATACATACATGTGCTATGTATCTACTGTATCTACTTCCTGTTTACTACCTGTGTACTCTGACAACACTACCTCTGTTGAACATATACCGTACCTACCATACATGTCAATGATGCCATGCATACCATACCTATCATATCTATCATACATACCATACATATGAAATGTAATTACCACACCTACCATACATACAATAGCAAGCATACAATAGCAAGCATACATGCCATACATACCATACCTACCTTAGATAGGACATATTCCATACCCATCATAGTAACCATACATACCATACATACCATACAGACCATACATACTGTCATATCAAACATACCATATCCAACAGACTTACATACCATACCTACCATCCATACAATACCAACCACTCATGCCATACATACCATACCTACCATACATACCAAACATACCATACTTTCCAAACATGCCATACCAGACCGACCATACACACCATACATACACACCATACCATACCACACCCCCACCACACCACAGGGGGGGGAGGGGGACAGTGCCACACCCCCACCACACCACAGGGGGGGGAGGGGGAAGATCTCATATGGGACCAGTATATGGGACCCATCCACCACACCACAGGGGGGGGAAGGGGACAGTGCCACACCCCCACCACACCACAGGGGGGGGAGGGGGAAGATCTCATATGGGACCAGTATATGGGACCCATCCACCACACCACAGGGGGGGAGGGGGACAGTGCCACACCCCCACCACACCACAGGGGGGGAGGGGGAAGATCTCATATGGGACCAGTATATGGGACCCATCCCATATGGGGGGGGGAGGGGGGGGGTGGCAGGGCCTGGTGCATTTATAAGGGATTCAATGGTTATTTGATGGTTATTCATGGTTATTAATGCCCATAGGATCCATGGTGCTGCTATATATGGTAACATGGATCCCATCAATATACCCCCAATGTTAGCATATATACCAGCACCATGGATCCTATGGGAAATATGAATGGTTATTAATATTAATTGGAATACCAACTATGAATACCAACTATGAATACCAACTATGAATACCAACTATATCAGTTATTAATGGCTATTAATGGTTATTAATGGTTCTTAATATTTATCCTCAGGGAAATATGGGGGAAACAAAAACATCAAGTCAAGCTCTAAGTAAAGATGGGGGTGTACCCTCTGGTTATGACTAACATAGCCATGGAAAATGGATGAAAATGGCCCATTAAAACCTCCATTTATAAGGGATGTTCCATGGCTATGTTAAATAACCAAATGGTAATATTTATATGAATGGTTATTAATATATGAATGGATATTAATATTAATTGGAATGTATTTATGATAGATAATACTATTATCGCACATCGTGTATTTATGATAGATAATACTATCTGGTTGGTGGTTTTAACCATCTTGAAAAAGAAGAAAGTCAATGGGAAGGATGACATCCCATATATCAAATGTAAAATAAAACATGTTTGAAACCACCAACCATGACTGGAGAATTGGAATAATTATACATAATAGTCATAGCGACATTATGTACTATCATAACAATCACTAATCACTAATGAGATAATAGTGTTTATATTATAATTGAATAATTAGAAAATAGTGCTAATTGGTGTATTATTGTTTATGATAGTAATATCACTAATCACTCATAGATACTTTAATAATCACTAATCACTAATGGAATGATGAATTATCTATTAGTTCTGATTGATACTTGATAATAACTAATAGATACCAATCATTGCAGATTAAAATTGGATTGATTAAAAAAAAAACGTGTGACAACTGAAACACCCAATAATCACTGGGTCAAATGTTGCACTAATAACACGATTTGTTTTAAAAACAAACGCTAGTCGTGAATCCTCAATCAGGAAGATTTGTGGGTGAAATGACTGTTCTACGCCAAAAAACACCTGGGGTGATTTTTGACGGCCATGGCCTATATGGAGCAAGATGTGGATATTCCATTCATTGCCATTTCAGTTGGGAAAGGTGAATATCATTGAAACATTATAGCTATAATTGTTAGTATCAGAGATGAACAACTATAATTGAATCTTAAATCAATTAGTTGTTGAACAAGCTGCGGAGCACACATGAACTTATGATCAAACATATCAAAACCAGGAAGTTTTGGTTCCCTGTGTTTTTAAAAAAATACCCTGCTGTTCATATCAAAATCGCAGGCATTGGGCACACGAGCCTTTGAATGGATGTATCATCACTTTGGTCCATCCCTGTAAACTGTATGTGTTTCCAACATTTCAAAACCCATGGTATTTCCAATGCAGGAGCAAGCACACATGGAGCTACACTCCGCAAGGGTCGTCTAAGGAAAACTCTCCTGTGGATCCTACTAGCCCAATAGCCCAATCTGTGCAGATCCACGATAGGGCACTGTCATCTTCTGACAGTTTATGTGCACCAACTGCAGTTGACTAGAATTGTAAACTGCATATCTTGGCACAATTTTTGAACATGGCAAGTTAACACAGTCAACCATTGGTTAATCCATGGTTTTAACTTAATCAACTATTAATCCCCATTCATCCCCATTCATCCCCACTAATCCATGGTTTACCCTCTGGTAATTTAACATAGCTATTGAAAATGGCCATTATTAATGGGTAAATCCACTATTTCTATGGTCATTTTCAATAGCTATGTTAAATTACCAGAGGGTACCTTACCCCCCAAAAAATCTGCGTTGTGAGGTCGCTGTAATTCCCGCCAGGAACTGCTGATGGAGGTGACTCCGCTTCGCAGTTGCTCGGCCACCTCGCGGCAGTCTCCACCTGGCGATGCCACGGAATTTTCATCAGATTCATGGTGATTTCATGGTGATTTCATGGTGATTTCATGGTGATTTCAGGGTGATTTATTGGGATTTTTCATGGTAATTTGATGGGGATCAATGGGGATGAATGGGGGTTATAAATTGGGGTTTTGTGAGGTTTAAAGGGGATAAACTCTGACACAGTACACCACTTGATGTGTTTTTAGTACATCCAAGTCATCCAAGAACTAATTCTTGAAGGTTACCCTCTGGTAATTTAACGTAGCTATTGAAAATGACCATAGAAATAGTGGATATTCCGATATTCCCATTAAAAATGGTGATTTTCCATAGTTATATATGTTAGTTTACCAGAGGGTAAATCAAGATATGATTGACTATTCGCATTGCCACTTAAAATGTCCACTCGTTTTGTCCCGTCGTTGTAGCCAGATCTGACCACATGACTTGGCCGTTGTAGCCTCGCTGGGCCGATGGTTTGCCCGGCAGTTTACCCCATCCATAATACGGCGAAGTTGAATATCTATCCTGGTTGGTGGTGTCAACCCTCTGAAAAATATAAGTTGGTCAATTGGGAGTATTATTTCCAATATATGGAAAACATGTTCCAAACCACCCACCAGTTACTGTTTCACTGTTTGATGAAGCGCCAAAATCCAATCCCCGAAAAAATGGTTCCTACTTCGCTACCCATCAGGGCCTCAAGGCCATCAGCTCTTTGTTCTGTGGATCGAATCCACAACTGCTTGGTGGTTTAAACCCTCGGTGGGGATCATCATCCACAGACGTTTTCAACCATCAATGAGTTCCAGTATCCCCAGATAAAACCCGCTATATCCCCATCATGGGACCCCACTATATCCCCATCAAAGAAACACCAATTTGACCCAATTTGTCTGCTCATTCCAGTAGCTTTTAATTTATTCACTAACGGTAGGATTGTACTCAAGATGTCCGTGGTGACAGGCCCTCGAAGTTTTCAATGCTTTCACCCTGCACGTGCCGTTCTTGAGGTCAAAGTCATGCCCTTGCAGCCGGAGAACTTCAGTGATTCAAAGGCAGAGAAGATGTGACAACAACGCCACATAGATTCAAGTAGGCCCCACTTTCGGGGCATGTGCCTGCCAACCAAAGGTCGCGCCGTGTGGGGCGCCAGCTCCGCGGCTTACCAAGACGAAAGTTTGGTTCTGCCTTTCTTTTTCTGGGCCTGCCATGCTTTCGTGCCATGATGCCGCAGGAATGGACCAAGTATCTCTAGCACTAAGCTTGAGATATCAAATTCTCAAAGTTCATGAAATATAGGACACTGAATTTTCCGGCATTTTGGTTTCAAAAACAAGAGATATTTCCACAACATTTTTCCTTAAATCCACCTTCTTTTTTCAGTTGGGCATCCCGGTGGGGGTGTCACTTGGTATTGCATGGTACTACATTATGGCATAACTATGGTAAGAACATGTAAGAACCCCCATAATCTGGGATATAATATGATATAACCCCTATAACTTTGCTATATATCCAATATATACAATAGATATATTATATAATTATATATATATCAATATATCCGGACACCTATTATAACCGGAACTGCACCCCAAATAAAACGTTCCGTAGCTCTTGACGCCCCGCATCCGTAGCTCTCGCCTGCACCGAACGAGCCCCACGTCACACAGGCGCCATTTGCCGTCAGGGCTGCGAAGGCACCGTCTGCACCAAATGGAGTTTGGCCAAGCATTTCTGAAAATGGGATAGCCCTGAATTTGATGGTTCATCATCATCATCATGATGCCTATCAACATGCCTATCAACATGGCTATACATGGAGGAAAGCCAAATTGGATTTCAGGAACAAAACAACGCGAACATTGGGATAGCAAACGCGGATCTGTCTATATGTCAATAACAGGTGAACTATAAGTGGCTAACAGGTATTCACTGGAATTGGGCCAGTCCAAAGGCGTACCCAGAACTGCTTGGTGCAAGTCCTTAAAACCTGCTGCAATGCAATACTGAAATGACAAATCATGAATTCTATAGTAAAGCTCACTGTCACAAACACAATTGTTCCATTGCCGCTACAGGATCTCTCCATATAATTGGGGATAGGTCACCCCCAGAACCGTTAGCTACATTTTAGCTGGAAAAAAATGATCAAGTCAGAAGACCGTAGAAGAGTTGGCTTCAAAAAACACAAATACACAGGAACAATACAGGCTTACCAAATAAATAAGTTGCTTTAAAGTCCCATCCAACTAGAATACTGCAAAAAACCTATCTGACATAAACCTCAGTACTATAGACTATAGAATAGATCTATCTAACATAAACCAACAAGTTAAGCCACTTGCAAACAAACTCCGAGGATCGAGCCCAACTTAGGCCACCATTAAAATGCTGGCTTCATCCCTAAATGGATCTGTCTCAAAGTGATCAGCCCATGTCAGCTCCGTTGCCCCGGACGCCTCCCGAAATTTATACAACTGGTGTATAACCAGGCAAAAAAAGTTTGTAGTGGATATCTCTACAATTACTTTGGGTCAGAACAGAAACTGAATTTCTACGCCTATTGACTTACAATGGGGGTTAAACCATCCATATCCCATAATTATAAACATTAAACTATATGAAACTCCCGAACTTCCCACGGTGCAATATCGGAAAATATCAATAACATGGGTTAATGACAGTTGTATATACCATCTGGTAAAGGTTTACATAATGAACTGGAAAGATCCACCATTTTCAATGGGTAAATCCACTATTTCTATGGCCATTTTTCAATATGTAACAAATTACCAGAGGGTATCCCATATACTTAGTTACTTAACTCCCATAACCGCAACGAAAATCAGAGATTTCCCCTGGTTTCCCATGGGAAAACACAGGCCTCCAGAGCCCCAGGCGCCAGTGATGGACACCACATCCACCAACTGCTCGGCGACACCTCCGAAGTTTGGCGAAAGAAAGAACAACCGGAAAATCCAAGCCACAAAACCCAAAATGTCACACAATAATATAACATATATATATATATATATGGTATTTAATGTATATATATATATGTATATATATGTATATGGCTATGTCTATGTGTATGTATATGTATATGTATATGTATATGCGTATATGTATATGTGTATATGTATATGTATATGTGTATGTATATGTGTATATATATCTATAGGTATTTAATGTATGTATGTATATAAATGGTATTTAATGTATGTGTATATATATATATAAGTATATGTCTATGTCTATGTGTATGTATATGTATATGTATATGTATATGCGTATATGTATATGTGTATATGTATATGTATATGTATATGTGTATGTATATGTGTATATATATCTATAGGTATTTAATGTATGTATGTATATATATATGGTATTTAATGTATGTATATATATATATGTATATGTCTATGTCTATGTGTATGTATATGCATATGCGTATATGTATATGCGTATATGTATATGTATATGTGCATATGTATATGTATGTAATGTGTGTATATGTATGTAATGTGTGTATATATGTAATGTGTATACATATATATATATGTATATAATAAATATATATATATATATGAATGAATATATATATATGAATGAATATATATATATATATATATTACCTATATATATACATACATATTAATATAGACAATAGATAGATGACTCTGACACATATACTTGTCTATTGATAGACTGAGATACGGAAATTGATATTTCAAGAAACAATGTTTGAAAATCGTGAACAAAACTTGTGATTCCGGCCATAAGCATCCATTATGCCTTCCAGAAACTCAGCTAAACCGGCTGCAAACCTGAGGTCAATGTTTGAATCTCAGCTGAAGTTCATGGTAACACATTACTTATATGTTGCCTCATTTCTTCAGTGCAATTTGAAGCTTTACTGTGTCCGACAGAAACCGCTTCGTTCATCTTAGTTTCCCATCATCTGTCCATGTTTTCTTCATCTTGTGGATTACCATTCCATTCATTCTAAAAATAATAGTTCCACATCATCTGTCCACATCATATGTCTATGTAATCAATATGTTTTGTGGAATTCCATTCCCCCAACTAACATAGACCCCAACCATCGCAATTCTCCAAAGAGGAAACCAGGAAATTCCAACTCCAAACTCATGGAGTTGGGTCTATGTTTGAGGGATGAACTCCATAATTTCCAAAATGAGATACCCATTCCATCTCCATAATCAAAATAATTGTAACAATAATCTATTAATATAAAATATATATAAACAATTGTTATTACTAATTGATAACTATCAACATAGGAAATCGTAATAACAATTACTATTAGATGTATTAGTTAGTTTCATCTCAGCTTGTTGCTTAGAATCCACCAACTCCCCTTGAAAGCTCGTGTTTTATGGGTCAACTCCTACCAAGGTGCGGCTACAGTTTCCACCAAAGCTGGGATGGCCCCATGTCACCACCTCTCCTGTCTCCTGCCATGGGATAGTCAGATGGGATTTGGGATGAACCAACAAGTCCAAAATGTTGTTCTATCAGGATGCCGTTTAGAATAAGATGGTGAATCTATCCAAATAACAAAGTGATTGATTTCACCATTTGGAATCAAACATCCTAAAAAAATGTTCGAATCCAAAGTCAAAACATGTTTGATCAAAACTTCACAATCACTTCGCATCACCAAAAAGTACCGTGTAATAAATGTGGTTCCCATACTCCAACAGAACGATTTCTACGACATACTGTTGGACATCGTGCCATTTCATGCTGACACCTCTGTCTTCTCGTGCCGCGAAATTGGCCAATTGGTTTTCCATGGTTTTCCCCCCAATGAAATGGTCATTTTGTGACTCTGGAAGTGACATTACCCAATCTGTGCAAATCTTTTCACTGTCAACAATAAACTTGGATTGAACGCAGGTACCCCATAATGGAATGCGAAACAAAACGCGTGATATAGTCCCCTTGAGCGAAACAAACCCCTGGATCCTGGATCCCCGAAAAGAAATCCCGACAATTGGGATGATTATCATGAATGATACAATTACATCGAATCGTACCTTTCAACGACATTACACATCATAATGCTGAAATGACTTACCCTCTGGTTATTTAACATAGCCATGGTATAGATGGCCCATAGAAATAGATGGTTTACCTATTAAACATGGTGATTTTCCATGGCTATGTTAGTCATAACCATAGGGTATATTTTCCAATCCCAAAGGAACCCGCCATGTCTGTCCAATGGCCGACCAGTATCGACCAGTCCTTCAGCGCAGCGAAGGCTTCGGCCGTGTGCGTAATGCTTTTCACACCACTCCGCCTTGGTGCATATGATTGGATTGGTTTAAGGCAAAATTTACAGGAAACCATAGATTTTCCCATTAAATATGGGGGTTTTCCTGTAGATTTTCCCTTAAACCAATCCATTGAGCATAGCCATTTTTTTTGGATTGAAATCATCAGTGATCATCTATTGGTTAATCTCTAGCACATGGATGTACTGTAATTTTTTTTGGGAATATCATAGAATAATCCCCTTGGGAATTCCACCTCTCTCCGGGCTCAGATTTGATAAGCATGTCACTGGATATACTTATCGAATCAAACTGAATCTAAATCCAAGTTCTAGGCCACGTATTTACTTTTTAAAATCTGGGCTCCCGAGATAGACAAAACCAACAAATTGTTTATAAACCGAAGGACCCAAGCTAGACAAACCCCACCCCCCCCAAAAAAAAAGGTGTCCATGTTTGGAAGTTTGATCTGGGTTCATTCTATAAGGATGTAAGGTTTGTGCGTTTCACTGTCTTGGGGTCCCTGATTTTATTCGCTTCGTGTGTTTCACTGGTCTTGGGGTCCCTAATTTTATTAGCTTTGTGCGTTTCACTGGTCTTGGGGTACCAAGTGTTTAACAGCTTATAAAACAGATCTAGCAAGTTCAAAGACCATCAAACATCAAGCGGAACCAGACATTCTGAACTTGGGGCATCCATTCCACTGTTGCGGGATCCCAGATTCTACATGAATTCCCGCTACTCTCCACTTCCAATTCAAGCGACGTACTAAATACTGTGGCAGACATCCGAAAAATGCTTAACTTACCCGGTTTTCTCCTCACTAAGGGGCCTACCAACAGATTCCTGGCATGGTCACGGGGAGATCCTGTACTACTGACGATCAGTGCATCTGCTGGTCCTAGGGTCTCACAGTTGATATGGACTCATACTGGCATGAGTCCACAAGATAGTATAGTAAAATAGTAAATTAATATGAATGATCCGGAAGATAGATGATTGTATACCAGGTGTGATTCTGTATCAGCATGTATGAAAAAAAGGCACTTCCCAAACTTCAGGAGAGAGGTGTTCGCAACCCTATGTAATTCTATGAAGTAATCTCCTCTTCATGGATGATAAACCCGAACACACACATATATATATAAATATTAAATTATATATATATATATTGTATTATATATATATTGTATTATATATATATATGTATATTGTGTTATATATAATACAATAGTATATATATACAATAGAATAAATATATATTCTATTCTGTAGTATGATATATATATATATACATTATTAATTACAATATAATAACTCCTATGATGGTCAACGAACACACATTTCACAGCCACTGCTCAAATAGATAGTTGGCTACTATATATCCCATTATATTTCCGTTGAATCCCATTATATTCCTAAAAAATCCCCTCATATTACCATTGAATTCCATTGCATTCTTAAAACAATCAGATTACATTCCCGTTGGAGTAGATATTCCCAAATTATATCAATTTTATATATTCCCATGATATTCCCATTAAGTTGGAGTATATTCCCATCAAATGGCTATTATGTATCCCAGTACATATATATATATATGTATATGTATGTATATGATATTCCATGATGTTCCCATTTATATTTGGATATATATATATATATATATGCGGTAACTACATTTAAATATACGAATATATTTAAATGACGTTAATTTCCGTGTATATATATATATTTATATTTATATTCCCATTAAATCCTATTATCCCAATCAAATGGACCATAGAATCCTTGAACCCCCCCGTGTCTCTTAACCTGTCCGACCGTCCAAGTGGCAACTGTTCTGCCACGTCCTCCGAGATGAAGCCTCCGCCGGAGCGGGACCCCCAGGCCAACACCTGCAACGAGTTAAAGGCCGGAAAGGTCCAGCTTGCGAGGAACAAAATTTCAAGCTTAAACGGTTAAACAACCAAATTATCTGGTTATGTATAAATTGTTATCTAGCTAAATAATTGTGATAGATTTATATGTGTCCTCACATTTTTCCGGATTGATGAATTTTAAGAATGTCTTGAACAAAACATGAGTGTCTTCCATTTATACAACACAATTTTCCCATGAAAGCCGATTTTCTAGATGAGTGTTTTCCATTGTTTTCCCATTTACCCTCTGGTAAACTAACATAGCTATTGAAAATGGCCATTTATAGTGGATTTTCCCATTTAAAATTGTGATTTCCCATAGCTATGTTAAATTACCAGAGGGTATAGACCATGTTTCCCATTTTTCCTCACATTTGAAACGCGCCTGCCCACCCTCCTTGATGGCTGCAAAGGCTTCATCGTTGACGTAGACCTTTTGGACGCCCTCGGAGAGCCTCACACGGACGCGTTTGGGGCCCCTGTGGTTTGGGAAGGTCTTGGGCGTTCCTTTCTTCAGCTTGCTGAGTCAAAGTTGGTTCAATATGAATAAAACATCATAAAAAGCATCGTTTTTGATCCATACCTATATATCTATCTGTCACATACCATCGTAAATGATGGTTAAGACAAAAATAAACCTACCCTACCATTATATATATATATATCACCATTATTATGTCAAGATTCATCCCAAAATGATCAAAAGATATAGCCAAGTTAATTCGGCCATCTCCAATCTTCAGCGCATTCGATTTCTCAGATTTGTAGCGGCCAAAAAATCTCCAATGTTGCATGATCAGGGCCCTGATGATCGTGCAGTATCAAAATTGCTTGCAACCACCATGGTAATTATGTGCAGAACCATGGTATTACATGGTTAATCTTTAGTAGTCCACCAAAAATATCCCAACTGGTTCTGGTGATTGTCCACTGAAAAAGCAAAACACCTAAAGGATTAAACTACCGTTTTCCACGGCTGGGGATGTTGAAAAATGGCTAACTGTTACATTACCGGTGGGTTCACCATGTTGATCAAACATACATATCGCAATTGTATGATATAGTCATAATCATATTATGGTATGATATGGGAATATCATATATATATTATACAAATATGTATGAGAATATATCCCCATATAATCATGAGAATATGCCAAAGTATTCCTTGTGTCTTGCCTAACCTCTGTAACAGTCGTTAAAACAATTTCTTACTAAACATGCTTCAAATGGAGCACCAAAAAATTAAGTTTTTTTCACGGTTTTCTTCGTGCACCAAATCGTGCTTTTTTGCGATGTTCTTCGTGCACCAAATGGTGCCCTACTTCGTGCCACTGTTACAGAGCTTAGGCAAGACACAAAGTATTCCCGTATTTTTTTCCAAATTCCAAGGTTGGGGACGGTTCTTGCTCAGCAGCTCGCTGTGCGGCGCCGGCACTGCGTCCGCAAGCTCCTCATCGTCGCTGTCGCCGCTGCGCCAGAAGATCTGGGAGCTCCCGGCAGGTTTCTGCACCCAACTTCCATCAACATTGGGAAAGCTCAGCATGGGAATATTTACCAGTTACCAGTTGGGAATATGGATTAAAACAACATAAAACCCATCATGGGTTTTAAATAAAAAAAAACTGATTTACCCTCCGGTAATCAAACGTGGCTGAAAAATAACCCAAAAACTATAAATGGAGTGGAGGTTTATACACAAATAAAATAAATTCATCTGTAAATGGGGGTTTGTCCATTGCTATGTTTGATCAACATAGGGTAAACCCCAACTTGGCTTTGCTTAAGGGACCCCAACAACAAATTAAACATAAACGATAGATTCACCAAGCAGTGGGTTTTCCATTGAGAAAATAACAAATCATCTTGAGCAAATCCAGGCAAGTAAGCAATAAACAAAAGCCGTGGGTGCTATCGCATCCCATTATACTGATTGCCCTATAGAGATTCTTCTTTCATGGGTGCCAATCAACAGGAACTTTGGTGCCAATCATCAGATGTGCCATGGTCAAATCATAGTATGTGCCATTTTCGATAGCTATGTAACAAATTACCAGACCGTACTTAAGCACAAAAAACCATCGACAATGCGTATGCTTTCAGGCATTGGGTGTACCCCTGCCACGGTCAACGGTGGCAACTTTTCCAGGATCACCGAGGTACTGATGTCAGGGCCGTAAAAAATGACTTCGGATAATCCATGATGACGTGTAATGTTTGGGGGCTTAGTCAGTCCCAAAAATGTAATATAATTCAATTGTAACATGCGGTCGTGAACTCTAAATGTTCTATATTGCATCTATCCCATATTTTTGTTGGTAAACTCCCATTTATGAACCTATATCTGCGTTCACCCACATTTTTGTAGTTATTGATACTGTTTTGGTTTGTCAAGACTTTGACATTTTTTTGGTTGGTTAAACCTCAGATTTACAATTGCTAAAACAACTTTGAAGCCACAAATCCGATATAGCTACATGGTTGGTATACTCATATTACATCCCATCTTTAAGAACCCATAGGATCCATGTATGCTATATATGGTAACATGGATCCCATCAATATACCCCCAATGTTAGCATACATACCATACAGGGATCCTATGGGGAATGACATCAAATTAAATTGATAAACTTGGTTCTATTCTCATTGTACCCCATATGTTGATGGGTAAGGTATACCAATTTTTGGTTGGTGAAAACACCTTACAATTCATCCAGATCGAAATCAGCGTTTACCACTATTTGTGTGGTTTACCCTCTGGTAATTCAACATAGCTATGGAACATCACCATTTATAGTGCATTTACCCATTAAAAATGGTGATGTTCCATAGTTTTATACTAATTACCTGAGGGTATAATCCTGTCTATGTTTGCTTGCATTTGAGTGAGCTCTTTGTGAAGCATCTGCGTCGTAAAACCTCCAGACTTCCGTCTATATGATACCCCTACACCACCTGACCTGTGCCTTTTTTGTGGCATACATCAGCTGGAAATCCCAATCGTTGATGATTGGAACCACAAAATAGACCAATAATTTGTCAGGGCGAAAACAAATCTATTATTATTGTCCATTGGCATGCCGATTACACCCCATACTTTGGGAGGTACACTCCCCGTAAATATCTGCGTAAACTCTCCATCTATATCGTTCACCAAAATGTTTGTAGCTTAGAACAAAATCTCCGTTGACTAAGCCTCCAGGTTTCCGGTTGGTAAACGCCTATTTGGAAACACCGGGCTGATATACCCATACTACACCCCACATGTTAGGGCTAAATCAATTTAAATCCGCATTAATGTAAACCCTGGATTAATAAACCCGGACTATCAATGGGGGTGACCCCCAAAATAACGATCAATTACTACTAAAATTGATACCCTGCTTTATAATCAATCAAGCGAACTGTATCCAGGGTTCACACTATTTGCACAAATAAACAAATTTTGAAAACCACCAAATCATTGGTACACACCCCATTCTATCCCCATGTTAGATGATGAAACCACACGTTGGTTGAGGCCAAAATTCCCCATTCCCCAACTCTTGGATCAACCCGGAGATCGCCTGCTCATATAGTTACTGTTGGCTATTATATCCCTTGATCTTCACATTAAATCCCAGTACATTCCTATAAAAGTCCATGACATGTACATGAAATCCCATGATATTCCTGCAAAATCCCACTACAATCCCATTCAATCCCATTACATTCCCATCAAAAATTCCAGTAATATTCCAATAAACATGTGGATAGAATCCTTGAAGCACATTGTTGAAACGGGTTGAAACATCGGTGTATGACACATATATATATATATAACCAGTATATCCTCATATTTTTTCTGCTTAAAATCCCTATTAAATGACTATCATCATCAACCAACAGGGGTTATCAATAAACCCTACTCATAAGGTAAACAAAATATGGTTGATAATCCCTATATATATATATATTGACACCCCCTATTAAATAAGTATAGTCCCTCATATTTTGCTAGTTAAAATCCCCAAAAAATGCCTGTTTACGGAAGTTTCCTAAACTATGGGTACCCCAAACCATTGGTTGTCCCATTGATGGTGACCAATTTCCGATGATTGCGGGATACCCACCAACCCCTATAAGTTACCCTCTGGTAATTTAACGTAGCTATTGAAAATGGCCATTTATAGTGGATTTTCCCATTAAAAATGGTGATTTTCAATAGCTATGTTAGTTTACCAGAGGGTAGTTTATAAATTCCTAAGTGCAATTGTCTATATATCTACTATAAACCATAGCTCAGATAGTTGCAAAGCAACTTATCTATCGTTTGGGGTCACCACCTTGGCTTGTCGGTAGTTAATCATTAACATAGTATGTAAATTTTAAATAGTTCTATAATCATCATGGGCTACAGCGCTCCGAGGGGCATGTAACTATCTATCACCTATCAAAGATTCTACTGTAATTCCAAACCCACTATTCTTAATAATAAATATGAACATCAACTATCAGGAACTATCATATTATTAATTCAATAATAATCCAATAATATTGATGGTTCATGGTTAATGACGAACTCACCATCGACCCACCATCGGGTATCCTTTTTGTTTACATATTCCCATTCGGTTGATACTGAAAAATCCCAATCATTATGTTTAAAATATGATGACATCTATGAGTCATGGAGTACCCCAATACTTAGATGCTTAATAATCAAGATAGTTTGTTACATCGCCATCCGGCACAATGTTTTTTTTTTAATAACGAATATTAATCATCTGGTTGTACTATATTTGGATCACACTGAATTTTACTATTTGTTACATAACCATCTGGGTATAATGTATCTTATACTCTTACAATGATTATAATATATATATACTAACCATTATACCCATTAACCGTTATAGTCCCCTGGTTAGTCATTGTAACAGTATAATAAGGTTATGTAACAGCCACATGTTCAGTATACCAACAGTATCTAATGATTATAATGTCTATTTAATTTATAGTCTATATACTAACGTGATCTAACGTTCATCAATGATTATATAACCAGAAAAATGTCACCACATTATAACAGTTATTGTTCCAAACATTACATGTACTATCACAGTTATAGAAATGTTGTAACTTTTACTATAACAGTTATAGACATGTTTGGTTACTACGGTCACTATATATAACAGGTATAAATTCTATCATTACCATCAATATATATATATATACATGGTAACATGGATCCCATCAATCTACCCCATTCATGTTAGCATATATACCAGACCCTTGGATCCTATGGATCCTATGTTCCTTGGGACCTTCGAACATTTCTGGTCCCCGCTCGGGTCCCCAGACACGTCCCCCCGGGTCAAGGCACGGCCCGGCCGCCGCGCTTGATGCCTGCGAAGCCGGCCTGGCCGGCCACCAGGGCTGTGAGGCCGCCGGTGAGCTCGTCGGCCAGGTCCCTGTAGCGCTGGATGAAGGGATTTCACCAAAGACCAAGGATGTCATGGTGATTCAATGGTGATTTAATGATGGGTTCATGGTGATTTGAGTGGATTTCATGGTGATTCCATGGTGTTTCATGAGACACGTATCAAAAAAAAATATAAATGCATCAAAAAAAAATATCCAGCACGCATCAAAAAAAAATAAAAATGCATCAAAAAAAAAATATCCAGATGCCACTGTGTGAGACCTCCTGAGTCTCGTGCAGCAGCAGTAGTAGTAGTAGTTGTAGTAGCAGTAGTAGTAGTAGTAGCAGTAGTAGTAGTAATAGTAGTAGTAGTAATAATAGTAGTAGTAGTAGCAGCAGTAGCAGTAGCAGTAGCAGTAGCAGTGGCAGTAGCAGTAGCAGCAGCAGTAGCAGCAGCAGCAGCAATAGTGGTTGTAATGGTCGTAGTAGTAGTGGTAGTAGTGGTACTAGTAGTGGTACTAGTAGTAGTGGTAGTAGTAGTGGTAGTAGTAGTGGTAGTAGTAGTAGTAGTGGTAGTAGTGGTAGTAGTAGTAGTAGTTGTAGTAGTAGTAGTAGTAGATGTGGTTGTCGTCGTAAGAATAACAATAGTCGCAGGGGTAGCAGTAGCAGTAGCAGTAGTAGCAGTAGCAGTAGCAGTAGTAGTAGCAGCAGCAGTAGTTAGTAGTAGTAATAGTAGTAGAAGTAGTAGCAATAGTAATAGTAATTAATAGTAATAGTAATAGTAATAGCAATAGTAATAGTAATAGAGATAGTAGTAGTCGTCGTCGCAGTAGTAGTAGTCGTCAAAAAGGAAATGCTAATAAAAAAAAAGCGGGTGGGGGGCGCAGGGGGGAGGGCGCAGCGCCTCCCCCCGCAATGCGTACCAAGAAAGAAGCACATAGGCACATGTCTCGATGGATATCAATAAAGTTGAAATGAGCCCAAGGAAAGGATGATGCTTATGAAAAAGCAAAAGAATAGTAGGTACAGATGGGAGCCGGTTAAAAAAATAAAAGCGGGTGGGGGGGTGCAGGGGGGAGGGCGCAGCGCCCGCCCCCGCAATGCGTACCAAGAAAGAAGCACATAGGCACATGTCTCGATGGACATCAATAAAGTTGAAATGAGCCCAAGGAAAGGATGATGCTTATGAAAAAACAAAGAAATAGTAAGTATATAGCAAGGGGAGCCGGTTAAAAAAGTAAAAGCGGGTGCGGGGAGCAGGGGGGAGGGCGCAGCGCCTCCCCCCGCAATGCGTACCAAGAAAGAAGCACATAGGCACATGTCTCGATGGATATCAATAAAGTTGAAATGAGCCCAAGGAAAGGATGATGCTTATGAAAAAGCAAAAGAATAGTAGGTACAGATGGGAGCCGGTTAAAAAAATAAAAGCGGGCTTCCTTCCTTCCTTCCTTCCTTCCTTTCCTCCTGTATGGTCATTTATTTTTTTTTGATGCATTTATATTTTTTTTTGATGCATTTTTTTTTTTTTGATGCATTTTTATTTTTTTTTTGATGCGTCTCCCGTGTTTCATGGTGATTTCATGGTGATTTAATAGGATTTAGTGGAGTTAGTGTGAAGTTGTTTTATGAGATTTCATGGGATTTTGAACCAGCTAATCTTTTAAAACATGGGATATTATGGGGGTTATGGAATGGGATTTCACGGAACTAGGGGTTTAATGGTGCATTTTATTAAATTGTTAACCGGATGTAATGCGATTTAATGCAGCCCTGATGGGCCCATCCTCCATGGTGGCGTACTACTTAGTGGTACCATCTGCCCTCGCCTTGTCTTTGGCAGATGCCCCACCAGCTCCCAGTGGCCTCGCGACCACGCCGTTCCTCTCTCGGAGCGCCGCCTGGCTTGCCATTCTGGCATTAAGCCCAGCTGCATGGCCTCACAGGCCTGCTTCACCGTCGCTAGCCCCGTAGGGCTTAGCTCCGGGAGAATTGCCAGGGCAC